AACTTTACTGAAGTTATTTAGACCTTTCTGACCTGCAGACTCACTCATGGGGGTGTGTTCTGTATGGAATAAAATTTAATAACCATTCAAAAAGTTCAGATGGGTGTCTGTATGACTGATAAAGTTTGCTGCCATGGCAATAGTGCTGTTGCCATGCTGGCTTCCTACAGTGTACTTCCCAGAGCAATTCAAAGCACTGATTTATATATACTTGAAGTGTTGCAAAGTTTAGCTTCTGTAATTACAGAGAAGCTGTCTCTTTTCTTCACTGTAGAAACTGAGATCAGTTCATGTATTCATCTTCATATTTTTAAATTTAAAAGATGTGGAAGTCTGACATTTTTACATGCTCTGATTGTGGGTTCTTGTCTCAAGGATTCTTTCTCTGATGATATGACGGAACATGAGGATAATATCCATTTATTCACATGGGCTTGGTGGGGAAGGATAGAATGAGAACTTGTCTGTGATAAGCATTTGCACTTTAGGCTCCTGCATAATTTTCAAAGGGCATTACACATTTTTATATACATATATACAATTTTAAAACAGTGATTGCAGTTATAATTATCATAAATGCTTGATTTTACTATTTGATTTCATTTGCAGGAAATTTTTCATATAATGTTTTGCAGATTTATACAAAATAGGAGTTACGCTTGTTTTTAAAAAACAAACTACAAAAAAAATTGGCAGAACAAGTGTGGCCATAGCATTGGGAGCATATATAGGCTGTAGCTTGGGGTCTACTGGAAGCCAGCCAGCCATAAAAAATTTAAGTACTACAGAGGTTTTAGGGTTCTAACACATGAGCTTTAGCAGATTTAACCTCTCCTATCTGTCTGTATTACCACCCTGCTCATTATTATGGCTTCCATTGCAGCAGAGGTTTATGGTGTCACTTCACCATAAACATCCCCCGCTTTAGCTTAAGCCAGTGAAGAAGATGTGTTTTGACTAAGATGCTACACTGGATGGGTCTCATGTGCTTTATAGACTTGGTAGTCTCTAGGAAAGGTGTGAAGCAATTAGTCTTGGGCAATAATAACCTAAACTGTGACACTATGACACTAAACTTGTCTGTCAGAAACCTCACCTGATCCAAGGTGGAAGTTCCAGGGTCTTTGAATGACAGCTTGCCTGAGCCCCATGTTTATTCTTCAGGGAAGAAGGCACTGCACAGTCAGGTAAAAAAAAAAAAAGGATGCTATTCTCCTAAGCCATTGTTTCAGTTTTAAACATTAATGCTCCTTTCAACCCAAATAGCATGTTAAATATTATGCCCATAACAAACGCAAAGAAATCTTTACTGGAAATTGGCTAAGAGGATTTTGGTACCAATGAATTTAAAACTATGGTAAGAATTGAGAGTAGAAGAGTAGATAGTCAAGTGGCAGCTCATACAAATGCCTTGTGTTTCAGTAACCTAAGATATTAATTTTCATAGATGGATATAAAAGACTTGGGGGGGGAATAAAAACCTATTATTTAACAAATGCCTTTGAAAAGGCAGAAAATGTGCTTAAATATGCCCTATTTTACACACTCCTTTCATCCTTTAGGCTTTTGACGCAATGCTTATCACTTTGTCATTATGTCAATTTGCGCTTACCAATCTTTTTTTCCCTTGTCTCATCTTATATTTAGGCTGTGATTCTGCAAACACTTACCTACATGCTTAGTTTTCCTACTCTTTCCTTGTTAATCCCTTTGAAGTTAAAAGGATTATTCGCATTAGTAAAATAAGGCATGTGTGTGCTTGCAGGATGAAGGTCTTGCATTGTAAACCCTTTGGGGTGGGACCAGATCAGATATTATGCAGTCACGTGGCTCAAAGCACGATTGGGTGGAGGATGAGTTCAGGAGTTTGTAAAGTTAACAGCTGTTAACAGAGTGAACTAGTTTGTGGTATATCAATTTGGGGCATAGCATGCAAGTAGCTGCTCACCCCAACTAGCATGAAATCTTCTTCCCTCCCTTTTTGCATTTGTTGCTGAGCTCTAGCCTAGGATTTCACACCAGCTGAGACACCTGCTCCTTTCTTCCTACCTCCTAAAGCAGAAACTTGCCTGATGCTGGCCATGGGGCACCTTAAAGCAGAAACTTGCCTGATGCTGGCCATGGGGCACCTAGAGTAGGACCATAAGTAGCTTTACGCTGCCATGCATAGGGAGGAGCAATAAAGATCTGTAACAGAGCTGCAGAGTTCTCCAAGCTCCCATTGTTGGACACTTGGGTCTTCTCTAAAGAGCCCAGCAGTAGCTTCTCATCCCAACTAATGCTTTTATCTTCTTCCCCTGTTTTACGACTCTCCAGGGAGACCTAGCCACTAATTTTTTTTTTCCTCCTAAATGTGCAGTATTCCAGTACACTATTTCAACAATCATTAGCTTTTATTTTTTTTTTTTTTTAGGAGAGACATAATTTAAAATCCACTTGGGAAGATGTGTAGAAAGTCTTCCCTCAGGTGCATTCAGCCAACACAGCTCTGTGTACACTATCACAGCATGACAAAAACTAAGCTTGATATTTGAGATAGAGTCACTCTGTAAGACTTATTCTCTGGAAACCTCTGGCATAGATATTCCAGTGTTTTTTGTAATATAAGTTGAAAAATTACTTCCAGCTTCACAGGAAAAGCTCAAAAATCCAGTTTCAAGTAATATTTATTTTGGTTGATAACCCTAAGCAGAAACATGTTATTTTTATTACACAGTGGAGCTGTGGGTGCCATTTTGTTATATTATCCAAAATGAGGGACAGAAATGCTCTTCTATTAAAGAACATAATCTATGGACTTGTCTACATGAAATATTTTAGGAGTTATACTCAATTCCATCAAGTAATTGGAACATGAAGCTATGGACAAACACCCACTTGCTGAGCTGGCTGTACCTGTGGAACAGGTCACTGCTACTAGATGATCCTTCCTGACCACTTTCATGTTTGTTAGCTGAGCCATTTATGTGAATGCACCCTTGCTTTGACAGTCAGATAGCAGGAGTGAGCGCTCATTCAAGTAGCTGAGCAGTTTGTGGTAATCCCTGGCAGAAGGACTGTGAAGAGGGACATGGAGCAAGGCTTGCATTGTGCATGTTTTTCAACAAATGCACCTAGTTGAAGAGAGTTACCAATATGATGGTAGTGCTTTTAATTTCTATCTTAAAATTACTTGCCTCTGGTATGAATTCAAATTGCTACAGGGTGCTGAAGGAGCATGACATAGACTGGGAATGGAGAGGGTAGGAATAGAGAATGAAATGTCCAATGGTTGATATTCTCCAAACAGCTGTCAGAAGTATCAAGAACAGTGCCTCTTGCGTTTCTATAAGCTCTTAGAGACGGGTTTTATGAGCTCTGCTGAAGTATCAAGTGACTGCACTGGAAAGCGAGGCAGCTGCTGACACTTAGTGCCGATACGGAGCAGAAATGGCAGAATGAAATTGTGCGAGAGCAGAAGTTGCTCAGTGAGCACTAAGTGTGCTTCTGGCCTGAAGGCATGGCCATTAGAAGCATCTCATTATCTGCCTGACTTCATCTTCTCCTGCCCAGGCACATCTGTGCCTTCAGTTACAGGACAAATGCTTCTTGTGTGGACGGTTAACCCAATTCTTAAAAGGTGCTGGGAGTGGCAGGAGACGGGGAACAGCTCTGGGGCACAAGAAACAACCCTAAGGACCAAGTCTTCTGGACTACACTTAAGTTTGCAGGCTTCTGCTGGCAGTTAAAGCTGGTTGGAAGTGTGAAAAGCAACTAATTACTACTGTAACTATTCAAGCAGAACCTAAGTGCCATGAGGAAATGGTGCTTGAACTCGTGTCTTGTTTCACTTCAGGAACTGTATTACTAAATGCTATTGTAGCTATGCTCACGCTGAGAAGACTTGGATGCAGTAGGACTGAGTAAGTCTGCTGGAGTTTGTGTTATTTATGAACTCAGGCTTCCCTTGTGCTGAAATGGCAAACACCGCTAAATGTGTTTCTGGGTCTTTGAGAGACAGCTGAATTTTCTCATCATGAAATACATTGCCATGAACACTTATTGTTGACATTTGGGTAAAGGCTGTACGTGCTTCTACAGCACGTAGCTTTAATGTGCCTGGTTTTCTAGCACTGTTTCTGCCACAGATGACTTGTAAAAGGTTGCCTTCTTTCCACACACAAGGCGAGTGTTGCCAGGGAAATCTATAACAGCCTAGAACAGAGGTTTTTCATGACAGTTATCTGGCTCAAAACCCCTCTGTGAAAATTCCCATCCTTTGCTAAGGATGGGCTGTGGAGAGGCTGCTTTCCCTCTGTACCCAGCATTGGTGAGGCTGCACCTCCAGCCCTGATTTCAGTTTTGGGTCCCTCAATTTATAAGGGACACTGAGGTGCTGGGGCACGTCCAGCGAAGGGCACAAGGCTCTAGAAAACATGTCTTAGGAGGAACGGCTGAGGGAGCTGGGTTTGTTTAGTCTGAGGAAGGGGAAGCTCGAGGGTCACCTCATCGCTCCCTACAACCAGGAGGCTGTGGGGAGGCGGGGGCCACTCCTCCCAGCTGTGCCTGCAGTGAGAGGACCAGAGGAAATGGCCTTAAGACAGGGGAGATTCAGATTAGATATAAGAAAAATTTTCACTGTTAGGGTGGTCAGGCACTGGAATAGGTTGCCCAGGCCGGTGGTGGAGTCGCCATCCTGGAGGTGCTCAAGAGGTGTCTGGATCTGGCGCCAGTGACACGGTTTAGGGGTTACCGCGACAGTGCAGCGTTGGTGGCTGGACTGATTTTACAGGTCTTTTCCAGCCCCTCCGGTGCTGTGACCCCACGATCCCGCGACGGGGCTTTTCCCGACCCCCAGCCGGGTCCGCTCGCGCCGCGAGAGCGCGCGGGACGGGGCGGGGCAGGGCAGTCGCGCGCGGGGCGGGGCGGGGCCGTTCGGCGCGCGCCGGCGGGAGGCTTTGGCCAACGGGCCTGTCAGCGCGCGCGCCAGCGCCTCGCGCGGTCCCGGCGCTTCCTTCCGGCCGCCATTTTGTCGGCCGTGCCTCGCCGCCGCCGCTCGGGGAGGGAGCGCCCGCACCGCCCGCCGCCATGTCCAAGCGCCACCGCCTCGACCTGGGCGACGACTACAGCTCCAGCAAGAAGCGCACCACCGACGGGTGAGGGGCGGCGCGGCCCGCGGCGGGGAGGGGCCGGTGGGGGGTGGATGGCGGCGGCCCCCTCGTCATCTGCGCCCCATCCCCGGCTCTGGCCGCCCCTCCACGGCTGGGGCTCCCCGGGGCGCGGGCCGGCCGCTGTGCGGGGCGAGGGGAGAGGCCACTGTGCGGGCAGCTCCCGGAGCGCCGCGGCTCCCGGAGCGCCGGGCCCGGCCTGGCATCGTCTGTGCCCGCGGGGGGGGCGGATGGCGGCGGGAGGGCCTGGAGCGGCGGGAGGGCCTGGTGCGGCGGCGCCGGGTGGGGAACGGAGGCGGGCGCGGGCCTGGGCGGGTGGGCCGGGCCGGGCCGGGGCCCGCGGCGGGGGCGGTGCGATGTCGGGCCCGCTCCTCCGCGCCGGGCTTTGTCTGCAGCGCTTCGCCGCCTCTACATGTGTATTGCCCTCCCCCCCCTTCCCTTACCCTTCCTTTTATGTTTGTTTACTCCTTCCCTTCTCTGCCTTGAGAGGCCTGGCAAACTTGGGCCTAGAGATGAGCACGAGGTTAGTCCAGCCCGTGTGACCTGGTAGGAGCTGTGTTCCTTTGTTAGCATCTCGCACTCGGTCACCGTCGGGGATGTGTTTGGCTTGAAGTAAGAATCGATGGTGAGGTGGGTTTTAGGATAGGGGTAAGGAAGGGATTTTTTTTTCCTTAGTTTCGCGAAGGTTAAAATTTTAGGACTGTACTGGACACTCTTCAGCACATTTTCTTTAAGGATAATGAAACTGCAGGAACACAGAAAATGCACTGGTACTGTGCTTTTATTCACAGTTGCTTTAGAGTCTTCTCTGCACAATTTTTTGTCCTCTAATTGGGCAGGAGGGGGAAGGGAGGATGGGCGGCTCTTAAGAGTAAATTTCTGAGGTCTCAAGGAGTACAAAAATATACAGTGTTTATCTAGTTTGGCCTTCTTGACAGAGCTCAGAAGACTTCTGAGAGTTAAACAATTACTAGAGTCCAGCGATGTTGTTTTGGACTAGAGTATTTATCTAAGAAAAATACTTGAGCTTGTTCTCAAAGCTTGCAGTAATTGTAAGTCTCTTGTAGCTGTTACTATTCACGGATAAGCAGTTTTTGCAAAACTCGCCTTTTCATTTTTTTGAGGGGAGCTTGTACGCTTAGCCCCTAGAGTTGGATGCGTTTTTCTCACCTGAACAGAGTAAAAATGCATTATTGATCATCTGCTTCCTGTACATAGGATCACCGTAATCATATATTTCAGAGTAAGTGTATTGAGCTATTTGTCTCCTCTGATGCAATTTTGTATGATTTGTCAGAGGCTGAAATAGCTCCTCTGAGTCTACAGAAAAGTTGTAAATGTGCACCTTTTCTGTCTGTAGAGATTTTTATAAAGTTCTCAAGTGGTTGTGTCAAAACTGGGCGTTATTTAAACGTGGTGCGACTGTTACATCTGGTAGTAAAGATAACCACAGGTCACTGTTTCCTTGTTTGTATGTTTGTGGGTTGTATAGTTTTGGTGTGGTTTTATTTATCATTGTTTTTACTGATTATCTGATATCGTGCTGAAGTGTTAGTCTTATCATTTTGCATATCCTGTAATGAGTTCCCACTAGTGGTAACTTTTAAACCAGAAAACTTTGACCTTTATGGCACCTAAAAGCTTATAGAAGTGCTGGTCCTGTACCCCTTCTTTGTCCTCGCCTCCTCTGCCAGTAAAAGCATTAAATGGCATAGGACTGAGTAGAGCTCACTATAAGCAATAATTACTGACCAGGATTATTTCTTACAGTACTTGAAATCTTAATTCATGTAGCATGAGGTGTACTAAAGTTACATAGTTGGTTTATTTTAGGGTAGTTTGGGTTTTGCAACTTGTGCAAGGCTGTAAGGAAGATGCATAGGGCCTTGTTAACACGGTGTGTACATGTCCTCCTCTGTGTGGAGAGTGCCCTCATGCAATTTGGGTGGTTTTGGAGCTGGGCTAAGCTGGATTAGCTCCTTGCATGGTTACCACTTCACATTCAGAACAGTAGTTTGTCTTGCTTTAAAACTGGGCCACCTGACTAAATATGAAGGTTGTATCAAGTTACCCTCTATTGTTTTAGTCTCTTTTTAATGGACTCCCCTGTTGCTGTGTGGCTCTACATGGCAACAGTGCCAGACCAACAGGTTTGTAATTGTTGGTGCAGCCTTAAGCATCCTATGACATCTGTTTTCTTCTGACTTGAAGTATCATCTGTGAAGTAAAAAACTTCTTGAAAAAGTGGAAATTGTACAGAAGATTTTTGGTTACAGTGTTTGTGTGAATTACATACATACTATTTTAAAATATGCTAATTTTTTTGCAAATATACTTCAGATCTTGTGTAACATCAGAGTATTTAGTGGGATGTATCGTTCAGACTAATTGTACTTTGATTTTTTAATGTATAGAACTGAAACTCCTTTAGCTACATTGCCTTTTTTGCATCAACTGTTGCTGTGTTTAGTGATGGAGAGATAACACTGATGCTCTGTTAGATGTGCTTAGACTTTCGCTGTGGTGATCAGTCGTTTACCTTGAGCCCTTTATTTCCATTTGTATTTTTATATGCCTTTCAACCTCTGGTTTAGTGATTGCTACAGTGCTTCTTTTATATTCATGTGGGCATATATTATATATGAGTGAATGGTAAGAAATAAAGGCAGATAGCAGACCAGACTTTTTCACTTAAAAGCAGAGCAAAAAACACGAACCACTTTCTGACTAAGGAGGCTGTTATGGTATTCAGGCACAAGACAAATGTGATTAAATTCTAATTATTTTACTGTTAATTTCTGGATTTGAGTTCAGTTTTCCCTATGCAGTAATGAAAAGTAACTAAAATTTGACAGTTTATAAATTAAGAACTGCCAAGTTATATTTTTAGAAATTTCAGGGAATTCATATGGCAACATAACTGTCATTCCTCTTCTCTTGGTGACCAAGGGAGTCTGTGTCTGCTGAGTTTCAATAATAATGGGAGACTGGGAAATAATTTGAGGAAAAAAAGTGTTGCTATAAAATGAGTGTGAGAGAGTAAGTTTGAACGCATGTTGTATGTTGTGTTGTTTCTATGCTGGGATCTGGTTCCCCCTGCTTCTCCTTTGCTTATTTAGTAGGAAAAAGACTCAATTCTCTTTATTAACACGTAAATATTTTTTTACTTCTGAAGCACAGATAGAGCTTGATAGATTCCCTTTCTGTCTGAACAATTAAATAGCTTTAAGAGTTCAGTGAAGAAACTTAGAAATGGGGGATTAATGGGACTTTCCGTGCTGGATTGTATTTGTAGTCCATTTAATCCACTGTTTTGTTCTCAAGGTTGTATTTTTGTTTGTTTTAAACCCATACAAATAGCTACCAATACAGGACATAAGTGTGCTACAAGACTGGATTCGAGTTAGAATTCACTCTGGTGGAGGGGCCTGCTCACAAGGCCAGTGAAATGCTTGAACCAACACGTGGGAAGGGTTGGCAACGTTGGGGGTCTGTTCATTTTAGCAGTAGTGCTACCTCATGTGGGGCTGAAGCATACTTGAAGGTGCACTGGGTGTACTGCAATGCAGGAGCTTCTGACATCATACTGTTTAGGTAAATGGTTGTGGAATGTTTTTTATTGGTGTGGGGTTTTTTAATACTTTGATTAGATAGCATTGAGGGATAAAAATCCTTCAGAAACATGCATATGCAAAAAAACCATAGAAAAAAACCCCCAAATAAAAAACTGTAGGTGATGTGTCTTAGTCAACCTTCAAGGAAGTGTGTTGTTGCATTTTACCCTAATCTACACTCTCATTAAATTGCTTTTCTACCTTTATTTACTTTTCTTGCTAATGATGTTACTGTCTTACCATGCACCTGTTTATCCCAATACCTGCAGACATTTGAAAATCTGATGGTAAATAGCCCAACTAGAGGTCCAAAACTTTGTTCTATGTGATACACGTTATTAAGAGTAGCATAATGGAGCCTCGTTCCATCACTTTATAACAGTGGTAACTTTTTCATAGGGAGAATATGAACCTATTGTTCTGCAATATTTGCCTGCCATTTTACAGTGAGAAGAGATTTCTAGCTTGTATGATATTTGACTGTGCTAGAAGTACTGTTGAAGGTAGGGTGTCTTAAATTTAAGTAAATGCTCTAAAAGGGTCTTCATTTTTAGACAGATCAGTGTCCAGAACTTTAGGAAAATCTGTATACAAATGAGTTAAGGGACAGTAATTGGAGTGTTTTGTAATCCTTTATTTTCAATGGGTCTGTGTTAAAAGAAGTAGTCTTAAAAACATGGTTTTTTTGACAGCTTCTGTGGCCATAATATGTTGAAGTATTGAGGGGGAAAAAAATAAAGCCTCTATTTATTACATTTGAGAAGAGTTGGTAGTTGTTTCAAGTGCACAGCACACTTTGAATTAAAATTTATAGGATCAGTACTAATATAATTTTGGTTACTATATCTTCTCTGTAGGTAGGATTTGTGTATTGTTTCAACAGTTACATTTGAATACCAACTGCATGTTTTAAACAAAAAAAGTTGTGGAGATGAGTGTTGGCCAACAGTTTTCTTTGGACAAGCTCTCTACTTTCAGGCATGCCTGACTGTTGGTAAAGGATGAGAGGCTTTGTTTTTTCCGCATATTTCGGAAATGTTTATGTGTGCACTTACTGTAAAGCTGGTTTGACTTAGTTTATTGTTTTGCCCTTTTGATGGGATTTCAGCTAGTGCACAGAAGGAGTCCAAGATGAGGATATCCTCAGTTTTGCAGGCAAAGATGCCACTAATCTTTTAACTTGCAATAGTTTAAAGTGTGATGGGGTGATTTTGTAAAGCAGGGCTTGTTTCAAAGTCTTGGATTAGGAATTTTTATTAAAAACATATGGCTGTAGTTTTTTGGGTCAAACAAGGGATATTTTTTTTTTTTTTGCTAGTGCGTGTTTGTAGGAAGAGTGAGATTGTTTGTAAGAACAAGTACATGGACTTGCAAAATGAGAAACTCCCACTAACACTGGCCAGAGATTGAAAATAATGCTGGTTTTGTTTTGCAAGTGCAATGCCTTTTTTTTTTACTTATTCTTTGGAACAAATGGGAATACATAAAAACTGTTTAAATATGTGGTAGGAGGTGATACTGGAGAAGATACTACACAACTTGGCAGTGTTAGGATAATGGTTGGACTCTATGATCTTAAGGGTCATTTCCAGCCTAAATGAATCTGATCCTGAGAAGTGTAGTGGCTGGTTTTAAGTCTAAGTTCCAAACTCAGCAACCTCAAAGTTGATTGAGTCAGAATTATATGTAAGACTTGAAAGAAAAAAAAAGCTACCAAGTAATTGTGGGGTATTAAAATTGAACTTCTCTTCCATGGCTTGCTTATTACCTTGAGTTAATTTTTTGTGAGTGAGCATAATTCCTTGGGTAGGTGGGCAGAAAGACTATGAAGTGTAATCTTACTCTTCTAGAGCAGCAAGTGAGGATGGGAAGAACTGAGAAGTTTAGAATGCACAGCTGATTCTTCATAGTTATTAAATGAAGAGGGTTAAAGTGATCCTCTCTCCGTGTGATGGCTTTCTTCAGTCTTGTCTGTACTGAGAGGAACTGTGGTAGTGTTTGGGTACAATGAGTGTATTTAATGTATATTTGTATATATCTGGTATTGAGTGTGCATCATACTGTTGTTACTCTTTGGTGCTTATCCTTCTGGGTAGCTGCCTGCAAGGCTTTTTAAAGGATCTGGTTTGTATCCACTTTATACTGGATACCTTTAGAGTTATGTTGTATTTAAATCCCTCCTCTGCATTTAAATATTCAAGTGCCTCATTTTCTGCTGTGTCTCTGAACTCATTTCAGGAAAGATCGGGACCGGGACAGGGACCGCGATGACCGTTCCAAAGATCGCGACAGGGATCGTGACAGAGATAGAGATCGTGACAGAGAAAGGGACAAGGAGAAGGATCTGCGACCTACATCCAACTCTACATATTATGGGGCTGCTGGTTTGCCAGCTATAAAACAAGCAATGATTCCACACAGTATTAACCCTTTCACAAATCTACCACATACACCACGATATTATGACATCCTGAAAAAAAGGCTACAACTTCCTGTCTGGGAATATAAAGAAAGATTTACGGATATTTTGATTAGGCATCAGTCATTTGTGCTTGTCGGAGAGACTGGGTCTGGTAAAACAACACAGGTGAGTTCTTATCTATGTGATACTGCATTTTTTTTGAAGACTTGGGCTGTTGCCAGGCATGTGTGTGCGTGAAATTTGATTTCTTGAAATTCAGTATATAAGAATAGAGGTATTCTATACTTATATAGAAGCTGTAAGCAAAACTAATTTGATGAATGTTTTATTTGCTTTAATGAATGCAAAAGTGAGAAGAATCTTATAGCATCTTCCCCTTTTGAAATGTAGTACAGTTCCCTGCCCATATTTCTGTTTGGTAGAGGGACATAAGAGAATTAATGGTGTGGCAAAAGTGTACTAATCCACAGAAATGAAGTGGTGGCTCCAAATAGTTTATTTAGCTGTTTGTGCAGATAGCAGCTGTAAAGTATGAACTTGTTACTGTTTTAGGAAGTACACTGCTACAGATATAAACTTTAAAGGAATTGAAATGTCAGATACAGTTCTGACATCTGATTGCGTCATATGTTTTGATGATATTCAAACTTGAGAGGTAAAGACTTGTGTTTCCTTGGTACTGAAATTTCTTAAAAGTCATAGAGTTTTTCAGTGCTATAGTTAAAAATCCCTTTTTGTGTGGATTAATGGCTTTTAAAGTCTTTCTCAGTACCAAAAATAGTGATAACAGATCTGCAGAGCCTCTTCAATCCTTAAGAAGAATTTTGGGTCTGTAAACAGAGAAGATCTAAGATAACGAGGAATACCTGTGTATTTATAGCAGGATAGACTTGTTCAAAACTTTATCCTCTGATTTGCTGTTTGAAGTCAGTGTGGAAAAGTGATGTAAAAAAGTTCTTTGTTCTATAATCTGATAAATACCCTTTATCTAGGCAGAAAATAAAAACTGAAGGATATTTTAGTCTTTATAAAATGGATTATAGCTAACTTAGAGTAAGTGTTAAAGACTAAGAAAATTTTTAGTCATAAAAGTTTTGAATGCCAAGAAAATGTGAAGGACAAATCAGTACACTGGATACCTTTCACACGTGTGCCTGAAAATACCTGACGTTACATGCCCTTCTCGCTGCACATTTTAGGAACTGGTGTCTTGTTTAGAAGGTAGTATGACATTATCTGTATTGGTTTTTAAAGTGTTTAAGCTGAGACTGGGGTTTTGCAGAATTCTTCAGAAAGGTTTGATTGTGTAGTTATTTGGAAGATACAGTATTATGAATATTTATGTTAAAAGGTGCTTATCTGTATGAAAACAAGGTTACTTGTTGCATGATCTGAAAATTTGAAGATCTAAGGGTTATATGTTCTTAATATTATGACTTATACTTCAGATACATCTTACTGTCATGTCATTCCAAAGGCATAAAACTTTTCCTGAATTATCCTACTACTTTAACCCTTGCTTTCTGAAAGGATTTAAAAAATCTAAGACATCTTTCCTAAAAATGGAATTTAAGCTACCAAAAGCACATAAGCTGTCTTGGAAGCTTCCCTGCTTCATCTGAATTCTCTCTGTGAGCTGGCAGATACATTTTGAAACAGTTGAGAGTGTCTCTATAGGAACATATTACTGCCACTTAATGAAAAACTCATTTTGCATGTGAGTGTCACATCCTTTTTGTTATTGAGTGTTGTCTCAAAACTTGTTGGGATGTGGGTTTCTTCTCCTTAGATTCATTGATCAGAGCAAAATAAATAATGTTCTGTGGTTAAGAAACACTCTAATGCTCCAGCTGCAGGTGTACATGAGTTATTAATGCCAATTTCATAACTATAAAAACAAGCATAATTTGAAAAATAATTATTTCCAAAATTACTATCTTTCCTTCCACGATGATAGTAAAAGGCTATATAGTAGTAGATAATCTTCTTGATAGTGATCTGCTGCCTGTCGAGTCCCTTCCCTGATTATTATTGGCACCACTGCTATGAAAATAAGCTGAAAAAGTTGGGCTAGTTAAGCCTGGCAGAGAGAAGGCTCTGGGGAGGCCTCATGGTGTTTCAATACCTGGAGGGAGTTTAAAGAAAACACAGAGTAATTTTTTACGTGGGGAGATGTACATAACACATGGCGAAACTTTAAACTGAAAGAGGGGAGATTTAGATTTGATGTTAGGAAGGAATTTTTCATTGTGAGGGTGGTGAGATGTTGGAACAGGTTGCCTGGAAAAGTTGTGAGAGCCTCACCCCATCAGGTTGGATGGTGCTTTGAGCAGTCTGGTCTGGTGGATGGCATCCCTGCCCATGACAGAAGGGTTGGAACCAGATCATGTTTAAGGTCCCTTCCAACCCAAAGCGTTCTGTGATTATATGCACATTTTCCTTTAGTCTTACATGGCACCCAGGTTTGGAAGTGCTTGGCTTAGACAATGGAAACAACAGAAGGTGACACTTTTCTCACTTGTTCCGTATAGACCTAAACCCCAAAGTACTGGAGAAGTGTCTTGGAAGCTAAGACATTAAATTCTTCAGTATTTGCAATGGCTTATTTCGTAATTTAAACTTAAACTAAGTTAACTGTTTTTACTAAATGCGCTGTGAACATGCTCAGTGGTGGAATGGATATGCGGAATTTCTTTTAGAAAGAGGTTGACTACTTGATGTAATTGCAACATGCACTCCCTTTTAAATGTTGTGCTGCTTTAATAAAAACTGCACTGTCTTTTGTAGGAAGAATGGTAGAGTAGCATCTCCTTTTACTTGAGAGTCTTTAATATAAAGGCCTAGGGGCTTTTCTTGGTAGGTGGAGTTCAGAAGCAAGGTGGTCTTGAGTATAGCTTAGTCCTAGTCCTTTGCAGTCCACAGGAGATCTGATGCAGTTTTCAACTCATGAAAATTCCAAGAATTTTACCGTAAAACTTTTAACTGAGAAAGTTTTCATTAAGTTGGAGAGGCTCAAAAAGCCAGAAGGGCTGTGCTATTAAAACATGAATTTCCTTTGACTTGACTTGAAATAGCCTTTAACAGCCCTCAGTGCGTTTAGCCTTGATCTTAGAGGCCAGTGTATGTGTTTATGGAAGTTACATTTTAAAATATCTCTTAATTGAGAAAGTCCTTGAGATTAAACGATGCTAGCTAAAACTGGTCATCATGCTTTTGTAAAAACTACTTTTTTCTTTTTTTTTTTAGGGAAAGTCAAGGGTTTTGGTGATTGGATAGGTTTTTTGTATCAGTGGCGTTGAGTCAACTGTAGATTAGGTTTCATAAGAACTGGATGATAAGAAGTGCTCGGTATATTTGCAGACATGACTGAAGTACAAAATGCAGTATGGCACAGTCCTTTTTTCCCAGTATTTGTATGTCTTTGAAAACTGGACAGGAAAAGTATTTGGGTGGTTGTCTAAATCAGCTTAGCACAGTGAAGTCTGTGTAGCCCTTTTCTTTCATTTGACACCAGTGCTGAAGGTTTTGCTGTTTACCGGAAAACCACTTTTAAATTGCTTTTATTTCGTTCTGCAGTGACCTGACAGACCTGTTGGTTTAAATTTTTTTTTCTAGTCTTGCTCTGTTTAAGGTTAAGAAGCTTCATCTAATATGCTTAAAGTTGAGCTGTTACTAGTGACTTGGGAAGCAAATTGCTTTCTCTACACTGCGTATTAGGGGAGCCATGTATATGTTACATGGGTATTATGTTGCTGCTGTTCAAGAACTGCTGTTATTTTTAGTTCTGAATAGGGTTTTCAGAACTTTGAGTTGTTCACAGCAGTCTAATAGTCTCCTGTCACATTTTGTTTCACTTTGCTTTATTCTATAGTGGAAGTATATTCATTAAAAAAAAATCATTAGAACACACTTGTCTGCTTTTGGGTATGTTTTAGTGTTCACTTATGTCCATTTTGCTGTGAAAATACAATATTTGAGAGAAAATTTTCCTCATTTAATTTATACTACTTTCCCTGTTACTCCTCACTGGTATATATGCTATATATATATATATATATACTATACACTGGTATAAATGCTATGTTTTCTTTTCCTCTCTGAGATTTTAAGAAAACTTGAGAAGTAATTGCTAAGAAGGAGTGGGTTCTTCTGGCGTGTAGGTTTGGAACTAGTAGTGTCTGGAGATGTCTTCTCATAAAATGTCACACTAAGAACATGTTGACAATATTCTATCTTCATCAAACTGTTACTGACCTTAGGAGTTCTTCTGAATAAAACTTCTTACTTTGGATGATTCTTACAGAAAACTGCTGATTGACAAATAAAGAGTGCTAATATAGGAAGGACAGCATAGAAGTTTCATATCTGGTTGATGACATTTCAAAAGAACAATGAATAACGTAATGAACGTAATTATTTGTTCATTTTATTTGTCATGCCTCCTAGCTTAGACAATTTTTATATATCACTAAAACCGTTATTTTTGTTTAAATATATTAGTAAGCATTACTTTTTAAAGACACAAACCACAGTTTGCTTACTGTAAAACTTTAAACAAACTGGGCTATGGATCTCACTCAGTTTTCGAGTGTGTTAGCTTTAATTTTAGTTGCTTTGGAGCATGTTGGCTGCTGCTAAGTATCTGTATAAGGTACCCATCTATCAGTGCTTAAATGTACTGTGAACCTGTGTATTTCCTTGGCGACTTCAAAGATAGTTATGTACATGTTTAGTGTGAGTGGGCTTTTGTTAATGGCATTAGGTCAAACTAACTAGTCTGTCTGATCTCCTGCTTTGGTTATTTTTGTGCAGGCAGTTGGCATCTCCATGGAATTCTAACTAACTTTTGATCCTGTGCAAAGGTTACTGGCCATCTGAAGTACGTTTGTAACTGAATGTTATTCGTGACAGATCCCCCAGTGGTGTGTTGACTACATGCGCTCCTTGCCTGGCCCGAAGAGGGGTGTGGCGTGTACCCAGCCCAGGCGAGTGGCGGCGATGAGCGTGGCACAGCGGGTTGCTGATGAGATGGATGTCATGCTGGGGCAGGAGGTCGGCTACTCCATTCGATTTGAAGATTGCAGTAGTGCAAAAACCATCTTGAAGTAAGTGTGGCAACTCTCAGGTAAAGGTATAACATTATACTCCAGGGTGGGGGAATTGCAGGGTGGTGAACAGTGTGAGCAAAGGTATGAAAGGAGTAATAAGCAAATGAGTCTATGGATAGGTACCTTCTGTGTCTGAGTGGGGAGCCATAGTGTGAGCTGAGAGAAAACTGAGGTGTGAGGCTTGAGTAGAGTTGGAAATTATTAATTCCTTCTAAAGAAATCACTGTACTCTATGGAAATTAATTTTGAATGATCCATTAGGAAGAAGGTGATCTGAAGGAGTGTTTTATAATTAGGTGCTGTTCAGAATAAAGCCCTTCAGCATGCAGTTTCTCTTTGTAATACATTCAGATATTTGTCTGTGGTATCTTCTACTCGGTGCTTCTGGTGAAGTTCAGTAGCTTATTTCAGTAAGGAGAGCTATCCAGAGTTTCAAAACTGGCCTATACCTGGCTGTGGGACACATAATCCATAGTGTTTTAGTTATCAGCTGCTCTGCATTCCTGTGCTGTGTTGGTGGAACCAGGTGCACTTAATATGTCATTTGCAGATCACATTTAAAATGCTCACTTAAAAGCACCACATAGTGTGGTTCAAGGATTAATGCTTTTTCTATGAAAGATGTATTCGCTTTTGTTACACAGGTAATTGAAGGGTAGAGAATAAAGTTAATATGTACGAGGAAATTACACCGAGACACAAAAGCAAAAAGTGAATGGATGATCTGCAAACAGAAAAGAGTAGCAACTCTTACAGAAACAGTATTTCTAGGATTTCAGAGGATGTTTTCCTCCTTTTCCTGTCTCTGGTTGTAGGTGTAGAAGTCTGCCAGCAATAGTCTACAAATGGTTTATAAATGCTGCTGAACTTGGTTTCCCCTTCTTTTTTTTAAGTTTTCCCCCCATAATCCCAGATTTCACTTATACTCTAAAGTAATTTCTGTTTGAAATCTTGAAAGGGCTTGTTACCTTGTTGGAAATAGTTTACTGATATTTTAACTTTTAATTTAAACGTTAATTAAAAGCTTACCTCAAGCAATCTAATAAATGATATGGAAGAGGATTCTGTATCAGACTTACTAAACCAAATGTATGTTGAAATTGTTTCTCTTTGTGTTCAGGTATATGACTGATGGTATGTTACTTCGTGAAGCGATGAATGATCCTTTGCTGGAGCGCTATGGTGTTATAATTCTTGATGAGGCCCATGAGAGAACACTGGCTACGGATATCTTGATGGGAGTTCTGAAGGAAGTTGTAAGACAGAGATCTGATTTGAAGGTCAGTAATGATGAAGTCCAAAAGCATCTCCTTTCTAGTTGCAGGCATATTAAATAAAGTGTCTGTGTGCTTACCATTAGCTGATTTTTATAATTGTTTTTTGATGTATGATAATCTCCAGGATAACCCTAGGAAATTCATAATGTGGTTTATATTGAAGTTACTGCAAACAGTGTAATTGTAGCTTAACCTTATGTATTGGACTGGGAATTTTTTTGGACCTTTGTAACAAGAGTGCTGTATTCAGGTGATAAAAACATGTTTAATAGTTGTTTACTTTCTTACAGTTACATATTGCACACATAACATTTTTGTTAACCTCTTGAGTAACTTTTTTTTTTTTTAATCCTCCAAACCTACAGGTTATAGTTATGAGTGCTACTTTAGATGCTGGCAAGTTTCAGATCTATTTTGATAATTGTCCTCTTCTAACTATCCCGGGTCGCACCCATCCTGTGGAGATATTCTATACTCCAGAACCAGAAAGGGATTACCTTGAGGCTGCCATTCGAACAGTGATCCAAATTCACATGTGTGAAGAAGAAGAGGGAGATCTGTTACTCTTTCTTACTGGACAAGAGGTACTTTCTTCCCTTTTTTTATCCATTGTTCTATACAGTAACTATTTTGTACTATTTGGACTTTATGTACCACAAATTCAGGGAGTTATGTGTCAGAAATGGACTTGATGCCTTCCAAATGAGGATTGTGAAAAAGCATTTAAGCTAAACTACGTTAGGAAATGAGGATTTTCTAGACATCCTAAATACTTTAGTTGAAATAAACTAGAGTATTTTTTTAGTCCTCATCTGTTGCTTTCAAGCTCTTTTGAGTATTGTTATTAGTAGCCTGAGATGGAGAAGAGATAAAAAACCCATACAAAAAGTTTGCATTATGAAAGTTTGCTGGACTTTGTCAACCTAAAGTCTGTTTTAAGTAGGGGGAGAAAGGCAGCTAGCAAAAATGTTTTTCATTCTTCTTTCAAAGGATGTGGTGCAATTCATTGTCCTTCGTCTAAGCATACGCAGTCTTAACTATGCTGAGGGAGGAAAGTGATACAAATAACTTGTGATGCTAAAGGTATCCAGGCTTCTTGAGTAGATTTGTCAGTCATCAAGATATGTAGCCTTTTAGGTGAGTTTTAAGACATTTGAATAAAGTGTCTTCTGGCAGGTCATCTCCTCTCTTGAAAAACCAAGGCAATTGCAGTCACTGTAAAAGCAAATACTCTGGCCTTTAAATTTGTCCTCCTTTAGATTATTGCTGTGAGTTAAAGTACAGGTAGGGAAACTGTTCAGCAGTTGTGATTTTGAAGTCTACCTGCTTGGTTTTAGCTTGAGTTTGTAGATCAGTCTAGTCGGGCAGGTAAATGTGTGAATTAATGAAACAGCTGTTGCAAATGGGTGACTGAATCAGTGGCAACAGAAAGGAACGCTACTGGCCAGCTGTTCAAGCAGATTCTGTTTTCTTACCAAGATGCTAACTCAGGCTGGTCTTTAACCTTTCATGAGGCACAAATACTTGTCCTTCTGATTTATAAATGATGTCCTTGCTACATCAGTTGCTGTATATTACTCTAAATAACCTGTTGCAACAATTGCAGTAGGGCATGGGATGACTAAGTCTTGCTTTGACAAATGGCTCCACACTGAACTGGGCTGGTTCTTGCCTGTGCTACAGACCTACTCTGTTCTTTTGTATGAACAGGTTCTTTGATTTCCACTGAGGTAATTTGGAGGACATAATGTATTATAATCAAATGTTGAAAAAAATCCTGCACATAGTACAGGCACATATATATATTAAAAATTTTATATAGTTATGCATAAATGTATTGAACATGTTATATTACTGAATCACCTTAAACTTTCATTGATAATCTAAAATCCTCTGCTCTGCAGTCTACAGTTCTCCTGTCCACATGTCAGTCAGTGCTACTGTCCAGGGGCACTGGAGTTGGCTCTGCCTCAGGCTAGTCTGAATTTAGTTGGTTAGCATGAAATTGAAGTCTGATTTTAGCTTCTGTAGAGAAGCTTTGAAGTGTTTTAACCATTTTGATTAATGACATTTTGGGACCTCTGCTGAGCCTCACAAAAGTCTTCAGATGTATCGTCAAATCTGGAGTGATGGGACCTACTGTACTCTCAAGAACTGGAAAGTGTGCTCTAGGTACCATGACGACCACTATGTGCTTTGGATTCAGGAGGCTTAGTAGCTGGAAATTGGTATATGATAGGCAGAAATGCTTCAAGGATTCTTGAAAACAACAAGATCTGTGTTGTCAGGCCCAAAAAATTAAAAGAAGCCTAAATACATTTGGAAACTAAAGGAATCTTATTTGTATAGGCCTGTTACAGGATGAAGATAAAACTGTTGTTAATGATGCAGAAATAAGTATTCAGTAAAAACTTCCTGAATTCTGAAAGGGGAAAAGTCTGTGATTATGTTGCATGAATTGCTTTTCAGTCCATTAATAACAAAAGAGGATGTTTAAACCCCAAAATTTATTAGGAATAAACATTTTGAAACAACACTTGTCCTACAGTCCCTGTAAGGAGAAAAGCTCATCTGTTCATCTTAGTAAATCCAAACAAAAAAACACCCTGGTCTATCAGGAAGATTCCAGAATATGGAAATAATATTCTTGTTTCTTGCCAATATTCAAAAAAGGTATAACCTGGGTAGCTGTAAGCTAGGTTGTCTGACATCAGCCACAGGCAAAATTGGAAACTCTGACACGGATTTTTGTTCACAAGGGAAAAGCATAATTACATTTCAGTCAACATGTCTTTCTTAGACAATAGGTGTTGTCAAACTTGTTCTCAGTCATTGAGATTACAAATTTGGTAGTCTAGTTGTGTAGATACACATTTGTTAAGCTTGACTTTAGGTGTCTCAAGACTGGCTCACCTGCAGATCTGAGAGGCAGCTGGTTATTTTTCTACTGGAGTTGTGCTAAAACACTTATATTTTATACTCCATCAAGATCAGTAATCTGAGTAGCTGTAACATCCTTACAGACAAAACTTGTGGAATGGGGGTGGCAGAAATAATGACACAGAAACTGTGTAGATCTGTCTTACATGTTTTGGTAACATAGCCGCTTACAAATGCCAGTTGTGTTCTCTGCCACTCTGGTGTCCTTTTCTTCATAAAACCAAATGCATCATTACACGCTTAGGAGGGAGAATCCAGGCTGCATCTGGAGACTTGAAATACAGATAAGAAGTGTTGTTCTTGATTTTGGATAAATATAGTGAACAATGTTTCTGCAAAGTTCAGTGTTCTACAAAGGCTTAAAGTGATATGGGTAAAATTGATGTTGGCATAGGGGAGAGCTGCAAAACATTTTTGGTGTTTTGATAAAAAGTTTTGTAATCAAAGGGGATTATTTTATAGCCACAATTTTTTAATCACAGTACGACTGGTTAAATTGTGGAACTGAAAGAAAATGGAGATTTTCTTATGAGGAAATTGAAGTAAAAATTGACAACTCTTTTAAAGTCTCAGTAGTAGTGACTGGATCAAGTTAAGCCAGTCTGTGTACTAGGCTTAACGAGTAGTCTTGTTTAGCCACATTTAGAAAGTATTGAATTGGGTGGCATAAACTTAAAGAAGAGTAATAATACCCATTTTGTTCAAGTGCTAAAGGGAGGAAGGTTTTTTTGCTCTTCATTCATTTGAGATGATGTCAAGTATTTAAAAAAATCCTGAATTATAAGCATTATGCTGAGGCAAGTTCAGTCTTGACTTGACAGAGCAGTTGTAGTTACAGTCAAGTGTTGGCTTTTTCCATGTGTTACTTTTTTGTCTGAGTGCATAATTTTACAAAGTTTTGTTTCTCTAAATTTGTGTTTGGTGATCACCTGAGGTGATGCAGCTCTTGGTGCCAGTTCTTTTTATTGCTGTTTCCTCATTTTAGCTTGTAGCAGTCTGCTTTCATTCCAAGAGGAAGAAAGGAAAATAAGGGAAGTTCCGTGCAGGTTTAAGGACACGGTCAGCATTTTTAGAAGGTTCATGTCATCCAAGCCAGCTGTGTCTAGCTGTGCCCTGCCTGGGCAGGTTAAGGTGTCTGCCAGATATTTCTAGTTTGTGAAAGAATTTTTATCTGTGCATTTGTTTCCCTCCCTGCATACTCATTTTACACAACGTAAAATTGCCTTACCCTTTCTAGGTATTAGTTTCCTTCAGGGTTTTACTGTTATGTTTACTTGACTCATTTATCCAAGGTGAAGCTAAATGTAACTCTGTGTAGTGTAGTAGCTCATGTGCTGCAGATAAGTCACATCTCCTACTTTAAAGCGCTTTAAGTATGTTTTAATTGGAGCAGTCTTGACGTTTTGCTTATCTCATGAGATTCTTTAAGTGTACCAAAGAGAGGGTCAACTGAAAAAAGGTTTCTGAAATAATGTTACCAGGGACCATGTTTACAAAATCACTGAATTCTGTTTTGCGTGCCAAGTACGTGAATTGTTGCATTAAATGTACTTAAAATGACATCACTAGTCACCATCTCTTTGTAGAGACTGATTTTGTGAAGATGAGAAGTTCAGATCTAAAGATGGAGTGGAGCCTGACCAGCAAGTTAACTGGCTGTTTGTATGTACTGCTTTGGCCTGTGAGCCAGAATGAATGCCAGCACTCGAAGAACTTTGGCTCGGGGTGACTCACAGTCTATCAGTCGCTAACTGCTGTTTATTATCAGTGTGATTTGAAGCCTCCTCCGTGGCACTGTGGTTGAGTCCTGCACACAAACAAAATGGAAGGAAATGGAAGGAAATTCAGGTTACCTTTGCAAGAGCAATGTAACTCAGTAACTTAAGGCCGCAGGGATGTTCAAAAGACTGTGAAATCCTGAGAGAATTGGGCTTTTTTGGCCTTGAGAAAAGAAGGCTTGGGGGAGACTTACCAGTATTTAAAGGGTGGCTGCAATGTAGGTGAAGACTCCCTTTTTACAAGGAGTCTCATGGATAGTTGAGGGGTAATGGATAAAAGTTATTCCTGAGGAGCTTGTGATTAGACATAAGAGGAGAATTTTTCACGATGAGAATAATCAGGCATTGGAATAATCTCAGAGGGAAAGCAGTGGATTCCACAACATTGGTCACGTGGGATTTGGCTGCATAGGATTCTGGGCCATCTTGTCTAGACTGTGCTTTTGCCAAGTGTGATGGTTTAACATCAGCTGGGAATTAACCTCCAATAAGCCACACCCCTTCCCTCCTGCCCCCCCTTTGGTGCAAGAGGGACAAAGGCGGAGACTATGGATTGAGATATACTGAAAGCAAACAGCAATGAAATCAGACACACAGTAACAGCAACAGTATTAATAACTAGAGCATGCCAAAGAGAAGGTTCTGTACACACAAAAGGTGTTCCCCACCTCAACTCAGTAACACATGGCTATTCCTGTCGTGGCTATTCCTGAGACAAAGACAACCTGATGGACACTCTGCGACTGGTGCTGTCTGAGCCTGAGAGAACATAACAGTGACAGACAAATCCCCGAAAAGCTGCATTGTCCGTGTTGAGCCACCTGCTTTTCCAGACCACCGGGCTTGGGCTCACCACCCCTCTGTTCCTGAAAGGCTCTGCTGAGCTTGGCTCAGGCTCGCTGCTGCTCCGTTCCCAGACTGCACCACTCGCCTCTCTGCTGCTTTTTGGAGCCACGTCCTTCCTGTGTTTGCCACTTTTCTTGGAGCTGTGTCCCAGCTGCATTCACTTCCTGGAGTTGCGTTCTCCAAGGAAGAGGAAGGAATGGGCAATGGATGGACAAAGTCCGAAGCGCTGGTTGATGAGAGCTGGCAGTGCTGCCACAACTGGCAACTTCCCCAAGGAAGAGAGGGAATAAAATGGTGTGCTTTGGGGTGTACTGGCCATTTTCTTCCCCCTGAAACCATGCCTTCCCCAACCCCCACTAAGACACTGGTTGTGTGGAATAACAACCCATTTGGCTCTAAGCTCCATCCCCCGTGGGCAAACCTAGGACACCCAGGAGAGGTTGGATCAGATGATCCTTGAGGTCCCTTCCAACCTCATGTTCAGTGATTCTGTGAACTATATTGCTGCTGGTCTTTCTGGGTTTCTTTTTATGTTTTGTGTTTAGGGTTTTTTTACTCCTATTTAATAGAACTTGTAATGGAACTAATAAAAATCATGTATTTTTTTTTTTTAGTGCAAGCTTGTCTCTTATAGATGTGGTAAATTAATAATATATGCAACTGCTCCTGTAATTTTTCCTGTTTTTATTCTTGCTAATGGTCAAGTATATTGCTGTCCCTATCCAGAGGATGTTGAAATGGAATATAAGCAGCAATCCTGGCATTCTAAGAGTTCAGGACTCCTTTTGTCTACAGGTTTCAAACTCAGGAATTTCCTTCTGGTCTGGTGGACCTTCCTTTGCATTTTTAGCTGCACAGAAGCTTTAGTGAGAGGAATAAAAATTAGTGTATCCAAGGGTTGAGTCTGTTGGGTGGTGTTGTTACGGTGGAGTAAAATTCCTGTCAGATTCAGGAGACATAAGTAACCTATTTCTTGTTCCATGAAAGTAGAGATGGCTGCAGTTCTGTTTGTAATAAAGTAGAAGGAAACTCTGCACCCTGTTCTTTGTTTTCCAGACAAGACACTGCTGAGCACTGATTCACATCCAGACTTCAGCCTTGCTGAGATCAGGAAAGTTCCATGCACAAATTAAAGTTCACGTTACAATCCTGAAGCTTTTCAGGTCTTGGAATCACTTTCTGATACTTGAGCTCTGGAATGGAATCAGCCTAATTTGACGAGTATTCTAAATATTACCTGTTGTCCACCACTTGTTTGGAAACAAAGTAGCCTGCGCAGGATTTTTTCTAGAACCAGTTGTCTTAGTCAGTTTTTTTTGGAAGGAACACCATGTGAATTAGCTTAAAATTGATAATAGTAGTCACCTTGATAAAATTATCTTCCTGGTTGCAGCTTTTTTCCCTTTGTAAGCTGTCTCAGTTTAGCTGTAGGCACAAAATACAAATTGTTGACTCTCATTTGGATGTTGAGATCATTGTTTTTCCTGGTTGAAAAATATTCACCACCCCATTACCTTCTTGATCACTAGTATATCTACAAAAAGAAATATTTTCTCTTTGCTGATTATTTTCTGTCTTTGGAGCTTTTCCAAGGAAAATCACTGAGGCTGTTGATGGTGTGGAAGAATGTTGAGAATTCCATGTTAATATTCAGAATGTGCTGTTGTGGAGTTCTTAACTGCTGCTTAATTCTAGTTTCCATAGCAGTTCAGCTAAATTGTAGTTATTGTCTGTATATTGTACGTTTATTTTGATTGGATCAACAAGAAGTTTTTGGAAGTTTTAAAGTACTTAAGACTACCAGGACAATTCTGATGACTAGGTGTGGTGAAGTATAGATGTGTGTGTTGTGGCACTTGCAGCTTGAGATAAATGAGCATTTTAGCTAGCAGTGTAACCTTTCCCATTTTTGTGGTCTGTTTGCTGTTTACCTTTGGGTAGTCAGGTCTTTTTAGAATGAGTGCATCAATGGACATTTTCATTGACTAAATTTCACTGAGAATTATTTCTTGAACATTAGTCCTAGGAAATCTTGTTTGTGAGCAACTAGGATCAAGTTCAGTCTAGTAACTTGAGTATTAACTAAGCCACATACTTTGTGCATTTTAGGCCTGTTTTCTTCTTGGATTAACTCTGAAGAAGGTCTTTGTGCTGATGCACTGGGCAGACATGGGTCTAAGTGTGGATTCTTTGATCCTATATCTGTTCCTGCTTCCTATACCCTTGTTCCCATTATGTCAGGTAGTCAGTGGGATAGTCAGGGCTTTGAGGAACTTTTCAGGCATCATCTAAATGCAAGGCATGTTCACTCTACTTTCCTGTTCTTCCACCTGAGAAGAAAAATTTCCTCTTCTGTGCATGTTGATGGAATAATCCCTCTTCAAGGAAGGGGTTTTGTAGTGGATTTGTTCGGAGTAGATAGTGTGCAAATATTTAAAGGTATGTGGTGGGGTTTTGAGGGTTTCTTTGTTTGATTTTGTTGTTGTTGTTATTCTGTTTTACCTTCTTTTTTTTTTAAAAAAACCCCTTTTCATACTTTAGTTAATTGGGACCATTGAATTAGACTTGCTGAATCTTCAGAGGATTTAAGTTCGGATTGTGCCTTCAGCTGTATGTCTCATATCTCTGGATTTAAATGTCTTCATGTGATCCTAACAAATCTTTAACACTTTCAGACTACTCTTACTACACATTCCTTCTAGTTTGTGTACTCCAGGATACGAGTTTTGGTCATCATCTGGATGGTTACTGTCTTTAGATGAGTGGCAGTGGCTCTTGGTGGCTTGCATCCTTCTTGAAAATCTGTAGAGAGTAATGGCTATATTTGCACTTGTCATCTCTGTTTTGAAGTATTTTAGTGAATCCTGGTTTAGGGATACTTTGAAACTACATTGGGAAAGTCTAGGGAGAAACTACTTTCATCTCTTCTGAAAGATAATCAGTGGCTGTGAACACCTGTCCCGGAGAGTGTAGTGCTTTCATTTATCACTGCTTGCATGTATTTTACTATCTCTTTAGAATAAACCTATCCTAAAGTCTTTAGTCATTACTGTTGAAGATTAAGCATCCTGTCCAGCATCACATCACAACTTTCACAATTACACAGTATAATCTGCTCAAATTCCCTGAGTAGTGTATTGAGTAGTGTACTGACCTTCAGACCAGGAACTAAAGTTTGTGCTCTGTTTTTGTTTATATTAAATATTTAAGTCCCTTTTCACTAGGAGGCTGTTACTGAACTTAAAAAGGGAGTTTATCAGGAGAACACCAGGTACTGACACCTGTATAAAGAAATTAATTCTCTGTTAGTAAACCAGCAATGGGCATTGCAACTCAGTTTCTGGTATACCCCTTTTATGAAGATGTGTTGGATTTGTTGGCAAAGTGCACCTTTTAAACAAAGGGGGTTTGGGTAAATATCTGCAGTTCATTCAGATTGGCAAGGCAGTGCCAGAAAGCATTAGGGTTACTCTTCAAAGGGCTCTTGGACATCAGAGAGGAAGAGCCTGCATTTTGCTGCGGTTACATTAGTTGTATACACTGATCAATACAGAACAAGTATTGTCTGTGCTTTAAAAGTTACTCAGTGCAGTTGTGCTGGAAACTTAAATGTCTCTTTAAGAATAAGCAAATCTGTCTGAATTTATGGTTTTTAAAAAAGGAGACTGCTTCTGATTTCCAATTTACAGTTTAAAGCAGTAACTTTACAGAGCCTTTAGATTGCCGTTTCTGTGTATTTGCTTTAGGGTCTTAAACATCACCTTCAGGCTAGTGACTTAGTTGTGATAAGGGAGGTCTCCTCTCTTTTCTCAGAGTATGTTGTAGCCATTGCTTTGCCTGCTGTTGCTTCTTGTCATGATGATTTTATTCTCCCATCAGTGATTCAGCTGGAAGATCAGTAGTTGGTCAGTGTTGCTTAGTTATACTAGTGGGGGTTCTGTTGTGATTTTAAGTTGAAGCTAATGAATGGTGTTACTCATTAACCTACATTTCTGTGCACTTCAATTTTCATTAAATCTTGCCATAACTATAGGTCACCTACCTGGCTTAAATGTAGTTGTTTTAAAACTAAATTGAGTTATAAATGACTGGGCTGTGGTGAACTGTTTTGGATGGTAAGCAAAAAATAGACTAGAAAATACTAAGGTAAAAAAAAGGTATGAAAAATCTGTTATCTGGGGAGTATTTCACTGTCTCTTCTTAAGCTTAGGTGGGATTTCAGTTAATTTTTAAAGTGAAATCTGAAGTGCAAAATTAAGAGATTTGGTTTTGAGCATCCATGTTTATACTGTAAAGGTGTTTGTTCTCATTAGGTACAATGAAGCAAATCTTCCACATAATTGCATTAGTGATACGTGACATTAAAGTTTAATTGGCTTATTTTAAGTATCTTGCATATCAGTTTTTTTCAGATTGTGAAAATTGAAAAGGTCATGAGTGCAGTTTAATATTCCAGGGTGAGAGATTTCAATTTTAGTACAATTTGTAGAAATTTAATTAGGAAACATGACTGGAAAAAAAAAGGATGTTGAATGCAAATTAGGCTGTTCATTAGAGTATAGAAGCTGAAACATCTTGAAGTATTGTGGAAATTTGATTGCACATTCAGTAAGCACCTTGATTGATTTTTTTTTTTAAAGTTATTTTTATTTTTTTAAGTAGGAGTTATTGTAATTGTTCTTCAGGGTATAGACTTAATCTGATTGTCATAGGCACTCTAAAATAAAATGCACTTCCTTTTCCATGGACTTCTCTTTTAAACAACATTTTTGTTTTGTAGGAGATTGATGAAGCCTGCAAGAGGATAAAACGTGAAATTGATGATTTGGGTCCTGAAGTTGGTGACATCAAAATCATTCCATTGTATTCCACCCTTCCTCCACAGCAACAGCAAAGGATATTTGAACCTCCACCACCAAAAAAACAAAATGGAGCAATAGGAAGAAAGGTAAATACTATGCTGTTTCAGTATTCTGATCTGTAAGTATCTACTCACAGTTGTGTGGGCAACGAAGTAAGAGTTACAGCTGCTTTAATTATATTTGGTCAGCAACAAGTAGAAATTTTTATCACATTAGAATTTTTAGATAACTTGGAATTTGTTTCTCAGTGCAAATCAAAGTTCTGTCTTCCATCTGTGTAAGGCCAGGATGTTGTAGTAACAGTTTGATTTGACTGAATGGAAGTAGCGTTCATATAATTCTCTTAGGAGAAGTATGATATATGTCGAGGCATGGGATTTTTTCCATAAGTAATTATTTTGACACATCTCTTTTTTTTTTTAAAAACAAAAGGGAACTTCTCTTCAGGGGAGGTAGTCAGGCAGGTTTTCTCTGTTTCTTAAGGTTTTTGGGAAAGGTCCAAGTAGAGGTTTGTGTTTTCTGTAGTAGTAAATGAGGAACTGAGGATCTTTCATTGGGCAAAATGGATTGAGAAACTGAAAAACTTGAAATGGCACAGTGAATGTTCTTCATAAAATTAATATGTCAGTGCTCACATAATCCACATTAGAAGCTATGTGGTTATTTCGCTAAAACTGAACAGTGGCAAGGAGTTGTGCTAGAACTTCCTGAAATTAAAGTAATGCTCTATGAAACCAGCAATCACAAAGCTAAGATTTTGAAGGTCTAAGCTGAATCATAGCAGGTGCTCTAGGCAGGGTTTCTTCCTTAATTGTTTGCTTTTTCTTGCGGTACAACACATGTAGAATACTAGTGACAACTTCCTAATGTTCTGGAAGAGTAAATCACTTAATAAATGTAGTGGAATTATCTTTGTTTTCCTGTTGAAGTTGACTGCAGAAAGTATTCAGTCAGAAATCATGAAACTAATGCTGCAACAAGATTGTATTAGTAAATGACTTAAATGAATGAAATTGCTCTTAAGTAATGAACAAGTGATGGCTGTGTACTTCATTAAATTTTCATTCATGCTTAAAACTGTGCCCTTCAAGATCGGCAGTTTTTGGTACTCTGCATAAAAGGGTAATAAGTGCAGAGTGTAGCTTTTGTTATGTTGAACTGACAGAGCCGGTACCAGTCTCTGAGAAGACACTCTTGGTGTAGCAGCTATTTTACTACAAGAAAAATTGTTATGCCCAAAAGGTACCAAGTGTAGGCACAACAGGTAGGCAGCAGACTCAAACCTATGAAACTACTTTTCTTCTTCTCCTGCTTTGGCTGAAATGTTCTGACTTCTATGTTTTAGTTTTTATCTTCATAACAAATCTAGCTATCAGTGAAAGTGTGTCTGTGTTGTAAATTTGTTTAAGTGTTGGTTTAGTTTCACTTGGTCTTGTTGATCAAGATCTGTAAAGAAAAGCCATGTGTTGCTGTGCCTCTGTGTCTTAAAAGCAATCTCCTGTGGGAGTCAAACCTAGGTTCTAGAATGGCTGAAGAGAGAGCTAGCAGGTGGAGTGAATGGTTTCAAAGGCTCTAATGGCCATAAAAATGAAAGTTAAATGCTTGCAGTGTCTCCTGAGCTTTAACTTTGTGAAAGGAAAGACACTGGAGTTGTGTGGCGTCTTGCAGTAGCCATGATGGTAAGGTAGTAGTGACACAGCTTGATAACTTAGCACTATTTTTTTGTTGCTCTTTGAGCTAGGAAAAATCAGCTCTTATTGGAGAAAGCTTAAGATTAGAGATTAAAACCCCACAGTTAATCGGAGTATTTAATTGATACTGTGGAGGAATATGAAGATGACTTAACAAAGAATGTTTCTATTCTTGTCCCATGTTAAAGGGTCCTTGTCTTATCCCTTCTTTTTTAACTGTTCTAGTTTGTTTCAGCAGTCTTAACCACTGCTGGTTAATACATATGCAGTTTATACGTATTTTTAGATGTAGATGCTATGTCTATTTTAATATTGAAGATAAGGTGTTTAAATTCATCTCAGTAACTGCAAAACTGCAGCTAAAGCTAATTAGGTATAATTTATGATTTTATGTAGTTCAGCGCTAATTTCAGTTGTTTGATTTCCAAGTAACTTTGTACTTTGATTTAGGCTTGAAAGTTGTGGTGTAATTTCATCACCTTTTTTTTTCTTGTTTTGAATTCCTTGTGTTTTTAAATTAATGAATTTTAGTTTTTTTAAGGAATGTGACATTAACAAATGATATCTGTACATAAAACTGTACATACATACAGCTGTACATACAACTTCTGCCTTTAGAAAGTTCTGTATGATTCAAGTATAAATGAAGTATTCAATTCAAGTAAAAGTTAAATTGCTGTACTTTTGTGGACTAAGCATATCAACACTATTGAGTTCTTGGTATTGAAGTATCCTAATAGAAGTCAGTGATTAAAAGCAGGACCAAAACCTTTTGTCGCTTCTGTGTAATTGGTATTGGAAGATTTCTGGTAAGGATGGTTCTGTACATGAACAGATACAGAAAAACCTAGAACCTTTGAAATAAGGTATGCTCTGTAACAGCAGACTGAATGGGAAGTGACTGGCCTTCTAATGTAGAAATGTGGGTTTACTTTGCATATTTATGTTTTGCAAATTTTTTAATGAAAATGTGTTGCAATCTCTATATCTATCTCTAGAATATATGCAGGTTACATGAGAATGAAATGTGTACATGACTTTTGTTTGTTTGTTTGAGGAATTCAAAGTAGCACATTGTTTCAGGGTGAAATGCCATAATTCTAAATTGACAGTGTTTTTTCCACCAAAATATTGCTTTCAGTATATCATAGTATTTGGGCAAGCTTAGACCTGAAGTCTACTTAAGAAGAGACAAACTGAGTGTATTAAGTAGCTGACTGGCAAAATGATCAGCCAGCAGGAAGGAAAATCAGCGGGATTATCAGTCTAGTCCAGCCACTGGCTTCATTGTCATACTGAACAAAGTGTTAGGGGCCTCTCCAATTCTAATTGCTCAACTGAAATCAGTGATGACAAAACGCTCTGAAATTAAGACTTGAAAGGTAAGTAGTTCTGATGAAGTGCCAAACAAGTTTTGGGTCTTTCTTGAGACAGCTGATGAAACCTGTTAATAACTAGATTCAGTGTGGTGACTGTTGGGTTGAGAGCGAATGGTGTCTATGAACTGCATCTCTGGACACAACATCCAAATGGTGGCGAATTAAGCCTCAGAACTCTGGTATTGCCTTTAATTTTTGCATGAGACGTGGCCTTCAGAAAGTTCATAGAAATTGAAGAATGTAACATTAAAGATCTGTAAAGGTGTTAGGTCTGGAGATAGACAAAGTTAAAATTAAGTACACGTTGTTCAGGATTTTAGCTGGAATGTATTGATAACTGCTTTATTGCAAACCAAATGAAAGAAAATACTGTGCTGGTACTGTATGTAATCTTGGATTTAATATTATTTAACCAGTTTGTCCTATTCGGGCTTTCAAAAAAGGTAAAAAGCCAGAATTAACAGATGATGTTGAAGGGATCCAGTGTAATTTGTCGTTTTGTACCAGACAAGTGAGAAAAATTTTGAATAGTGGTTTCATTAGTAAAATTTTTGCTCTTCTGCTTCTTTTTCTTAAAATTACCATTTGTTATGTTGTTAATAGACTCACATGGGAGCAAAAACAGTGGACAAAAATTACTCTTTTCACTAGAAGTAAACTTGATTGATTTCAGATCGTCCTGTGAAAGTGTTGGAGTGCAGCTCTGGTCATTACTGATGTAGTGAAGGAAAGTTTGCTGCAAATTCTTTGTGCAGAAACAAAATCAGAGCTCTTCATGATCACAGTGAAGCAGTTTCATTTAATTATTTGGTTTTTTGGGTTTTCTTGACAGGTTGTTGTATCCACTAACATCGCTGAGACATCATTAACAATAGATGGTGTTGTGTTTGTGATTGATCCTGGCTTTGCAAAACAGAAGGTAAATACTATTCTGATTTCTATTTCTTTATAGTAGGAAAGATGCTGAAATCTGGTTTGCTCAGGTAACTGTTCCCTTTGTAGACACCAGCTCCTTTTTCCACTTGAAATCTTAAACTTGGTTGTTGTGGTTTTGCTTTATTTTTAACTTAGAGGTTTGCATGTAGTCTGCAAATTTTAGATAGAAGAATTTTATTTTAAAAAGGAAAAAAAAACATGAGAACTTGGAGTTAGACCTGGCATATGGATTTTCCAGATACTTTAGGAAAGCTGGTTTTGTACTTTGTGTCTTTGCTTGAGAAGGCTCAAGTAAAACCAAGAAATTATATGAAAGTAAATTAAAACTGGTGCTAGAAGCCTCCTCTTTTAAGTCACTCCAGTAGCATACTCCAGCACTAAAATAAGAAGAAAGAGATGGGACACACTGTTTTATATCAGTATTTGTCATGTCCTGTTGCAACCCTGGAGATTGTAATCGAGTTTGTATTTTCTTGGAACATCATAGGATGTTCAGAAGAATGGAAGAAGTTTTCCTATAATCAACCCAATTAATAAAGAAAGAATAAAATGCATATCATAATAGTAATTTAGTTTTTTCAATAACTGAAACTTTCTTTACAACTTGGTTTCTTAGACTTTAACACTGATACACACTGCCAGCCTTTTAAACTTTTGCAAAATGTGACAGATGTACAGCAGAATGTGAGTACAGTAAGCCAGTACATCTTCGTGCACAAGTTCACCATTTAGGATGAGTTTTTTCACAGGTAGTTCTTATACCAGAAGAATACCTTCGGTAGTAAGAACTAAAGTTTTTGTACATATTTTATCCTTACTCCAAAAAGGTGTTAAAACATGGACCAAGAACATCTTCAGCTGAACTGCTATCTGATACTGCCTTTTTTACAGTATATTCCTTTCCATGAGCCCTGTTGAGTTGGCAGGGCTACTATTTTATCTATGACTGCAGTGGAAATTTTACAGTAAATACCAGCACGTATTTTGTACTATGGCAGTCAGCATGTACCCTTGAAATAGAGTTTTGTTTTGTTATCAGCTCCATTTTTACAGTTCCATTCAACCTTGATGTTAGATTTTTCTGATCTCTAGAACATGATTATTAAACCTCATAATTACATCGAGACAAACCTTTTTTTGTGGAATTTTTTAGCATCATGATTGTTTAGCACTCTATAGAACAAATTGGATATGTTCCTTTTGCTGTGAAAATCTTAAATACACGCATTTAAGGAGAACAGGGAACCTGGGAGGAGTTGCTGTTAACAGGTGAATAAAAAATGGTGTTCTCTAGACAGTTGTATTTGAAGCTCTCTGTCACTGATCCAGAGCATTTTGTAGCCAGTTTTTTTTCTCCTTTCAGATAAATACAACTTTTGATTTCCTAGTCAGAAGCTGTGCTTGACAATGTGTTTAAAGCAGTCTTTATTTTTTCAAGTAGTTGTCTTATCCATGAACTGTTTATTCTTTTCCTTCTTTCCTGCTCTGCCCCCACTTTCAAATAGGTGTACAACCCTCGTATCAGAGTGGAGTCTCTGTTGGTGACTGCCATCAGTAAAGCTTCTGCTCAGCAGCGAGCTGGCCGTGCTGGCCGTACTCGACCAGGCAAGTGCTTCAGGCTCTACACAGAGAAGGCTTACAAGACTGAAATGCAGGTAAGGTTACTTCTTTTAGATTATGTTTATAAGCACACCTGATTCAGGTAGCTGAGTGCTGTGCTGTTGAACAAAATCAGAATTTGAATGCTTCTGGAGTATAAGGGGCTTGGAAGAACGAGTGTTTTGAATTGTCTTTTTTTTCCCCTCCCCCCCAGGACAACACATACCCTGAAATTTTGAGGTCTAACTTAGGATCTGTAGTATTACAGCTCAAGAAGCTTGGTATAGATGATTTGGTGCACTTTGATTTTATGGATCCTCCAGGTATCTATTTCCATCTTTCCAATCTTTATTTTTGTGACTACTTTATATAATGGCAACATGGAATAAATTATTTTACTTTTTTTTCCCTGTTTTTTTGGTTTTTTTTTTTTTTTTAGTTGTAGTCTGTAAGGAATGTCTGTTGTTAATCCTGAAATTTAGTGCTCTGTGTCATATTCAAACAAGCTTTTTGTATTTTTGTCTGTGTAAAGGCTTTTAATGGAACCAAGGAATCTACTGAAGGCCCCTTGCCTGCAGACAATAAGAGAAAACTATAGGCATTAGAATGTCTGTTATTTGAAATTCTTCTACTTACCACCTTGATTACACATTCTAATTGTGTAAAATTGGCTGCTGGTGTTAAAGCTAAACACATGGTTTTGGCTCAAACTATAAAGTTGATGTGTATCTTCTTTCAAAGTGTAAAGGTTCATGTATGCTTCCAAAATAACTGGTTTATATTGCTAATTAAAAATGTAGATCAGCCATGTATAAATATGTTAGAAAGTTCGTTTTTTTCCCCCCTCAAATAAAAATATAACATAGTCTGTATGCTTTTAAATAGCACTACAGAATAATTGAATATGTGAATTTCCTTCTGTTTTAATTTCGGGGTTAATACGGACTCTGTATGAGAAATTCAGGATTTAGAGAACATTTTTGCTGGCTTTGTGGAAGACAAAGTTGACACCTAAAGTTGACACCTAAAGTTGACACCTAAAGTTGACATGGCTGATATTCTAGGGCTGTATTGATCTATTTGGTATGGAACAAGGGAAAAGGTATCTACAGGGAGAGGAAGTGATACTACTACGATACTGAATATGCCACAATGCCACTGCTGTCTGAATTTTGAAAAGCAGTAATCTTGAAATATTTGAAGCTTGCGATTAAGTTTAAAGCTTTCCTAAATAAGTTTTGTTTCCTCCCCCCACCCCTATTCATTCACACCTGGGTGTGTATTACTGAATTTGGTAGCAGTTTTGCGTTTGGATGCTAGCGAATGGAGAAAAACAACCAAAAAAACTAGCTTATAATGGTCTGTGCTTCCTCGTTTTTTGCTGATTCAGAGCAGTTTGGGTACTGTGCCTACTTACATACTTTTTTCTTTCAGCTCCTGAAACTCTGATGAGAGCCTTAGAGCTTTTAAATTACCTGGCTGCTTTAAATGATGATGGAGACTTGACTGAGTTGGGATCCATGATGGCTGAATTTCCATTGGACCCACAGCTGGCTAAAATGGTTATTGCAAGCTGTGACTACAACTGTTCTAATGAGGTCCTATCTATTACTGCCATGTTGTCAGGTAATAGCAGGAAAAGACATACTAAACAAAATGCAGATCTTCAGTTTGGGGGATATACGAGTTTTCCACATAAAAAAAATCGTGTATTTCTAATAAAATTAGAATTGTTTTTTAAAACTTTATATATGGGTTCAGTCATTACAGATTTATGTGGAGATCTTGAACCTAATCAGTAGTAATATTAAGAAATTAACACACATAAAAAGGTCAAGGAGTTTACTCCTAGTATCAGTTCAAAGTGTAGATATTTGAGTTGTTGGGTGGGGGGAGGGAATCAGGGTAGTGGAACAGAAATTTCTATTCAGACTCATAGACAGGATCAGAAACATCAGTTCAGCCGCTCAGTTTAAGGCAGTGACATCTGTTACATATTGTGCATTCTGCTGCACTTTGATAAATCTCAGTATTCCCAAAGGGATTACAGTCTAATTTATATTAAACCACAAGCTTGTACATGAAGTACACTTTTCAGTCATTAAGTGGCAAAACTGGAGAACAGTCATTACTTTTAAAGGGAAAAAGAAACTTGGGGTGAGGATGTATCTTGATAAGAATTGACTTAAGTGCACAGCTGTACTTTGGTGCTGTGTCACGTGAATAGCTCCGTGTCAGAGCAGAGCAGCTTGATGGGGAGGAAAATGTTACCACACAAACCTCGTATTTAATTTCCCAGTTAGTAGAACTGATGTTGGTTTATAGTTAGAGGTCATAGGAAAAGCAACAAATGGGGATGTTCTTATTCCTAAGTACTCTTTTGTCTTTGGGGTGTGCTATTTTACCAGTGCTCTCCACAGCACAGGTGTGCTGCTGACATGCTTAACTTGATTGGATAGGTAAAAAAACCCCACTTTGATTAAGTGTAAAGTCTGTTGCTTCAGTTTAGTCTTACAGTACATTTATATGAAAGTTTTTAAGAACAAGATAAAATGTTTGTTGCAGAGTTATGATTGTTCAGACTCAGAGCAGATGGGCAGGGCAGAATCATAACATTTATTTTTAATTAAATGGTAGGCTTAATTGCGGAGGTGGTGGTAGGTTGGTGCCTGTCTTTCTCTTCCCTTCTCCCCCCAGTATCTACTACAGAACAAGTCAGTCTAATATTTTTGTCTATGGCCTTCAACTGATTTGCCTTACTCCTTTTTCAATTTACCTTTTCCCAGGCCATGATAGCTACTTTTGTTTTAAGGCACAAGTAATATAATGAATAATAAGTTTTTTGGGAAAAATGAAAAACAGATTGAAGATGGTTAATATGTGTGTTATAACTAACATACTACTCTTGAAAAAACCCATCACATAATCCTAGTATTTGTGAGGACTGTTTCCCAAAGCAAGCACTTTTTTTTAAACCAGCAGAATAATTATATGTTTTGATGCCTAAAATCCTCATAAAGATTGTCAGGCTTTGGATAGCAATCCGTGTATTAAGTTTGGACTGAATGGGAAACTAGGTACCAGAAAGGAGCAAAAATAGCATTGAATAAATGAGTAGATCGAATGATTGTACTTCATTTTGTAAGAGCTTTGGTGTCTTGCTGTGGTATGGAGAATGCTATTACTTATTCAAAACAGTGAGTTTAGACAGTGATAGAGTAAGTTGGATTTTGCTTTTATTAATCTGAGTTTGAAATTAAAATCAGATCATCTCTTTTTTTTCAAATGCAGGACCCACTGTCCAGGGTGTTTATTTCACACCTGCATTCCCATTTTCTTTAATGCACTGGTCTTGGTTGATTTGTTACCATGTGATTCACTGTTGCAGTGTGTATTTTTTTTTCTCAAGTTCCGTCCAGTATTCAACTCACATATTTAGTGCTTTGGGGCTTTTATGCAAATTTAAGAATGAAATAAAGTAAAACCACATAACACCCCACAAAAAAGCCTTCATCTGATAGATCATATGCAAAGAGGTGTTCTCATGAGATTGCTGGGCTTCAGTTGTGAGAAAGTGAATGTAGTCAAAACCAGATGGAAACAGATAAAGAATTTGTAGCATCTTAGCATTAATTTTATTGAAATTTAACCTCTTAAAAATTGCATCTACTTTAAACACAACTGATTTTTTTCCGCTGTAGATCTCTGTAAAGTGAATCACAGAATGGGTAAGGTTGGAAGGGATCACAGTGGGTCACCTGGTCCAACCTCCCTGCTCCAGCAGACCTCTTAGAAGTACTTTCAGGATCTCCTGAATTAATATCAATCTTACAAACTTAGTAGAATAAGAGAATAAAGTGATAGGAGAAAACTCATCATATTGCATTTTTTTAGTATGTTTTTTATTTGAAGTAGTGCCAAAGGACAGTTTAACCTTCCACCACTACCGCTACCATCACAACCTTTAGACTTATTAATACCTTCATTCACATGTTTCTGTATACCAGTGCTGATAACAATACCATCGGGGAAGAGACTGACTTGACTAGTGTGTTCTGGCTGGTAACAGACCTTTGATAATTAGAACTCATGTTTGTTTAGACTGTACTGTGCAGTACAGTTTCAGAACTATCTTCTTTACTCTGTCTGAAGGGGCTTTCTGAAGAAGCAAATTTGCAGTTAAAGTGTTTTATTCCATGGGGTACTAGCTCCTGGTAGAGCTATCAGCACTGGGTTTGAACTAAGATCTGTTCAGCCTTCCAGTAGGTAATCTTGATGGCCTTCAGACTAGAGATTTTGATGCCTACATACAGTTCTATTAAAATAATCAGGTACTCTGTAGCTTTGAAACCCTCTTGTCTTACAGATGTGGTTAGGTGTTGATGTACCAAATCAAGGTAGTAAACAGTCCAAGATGCAGTTGGAGGCCATCCTGCCCTGCCCTATGCTCTGTGAACTGACCTAGCTAGGCCTTGTTCCTCTATCTGTGAATGCGTGACTCATCGATATGGGCGTTTGTGTTGGGCCCATACCAACCTTGTTTAGTCCCACAGTGTTTTGTTCGCCCCACGGAAGCAAAGAAAGCAGCAGATGAAGCCAAGATGAGGTTTGCCCACATAGATGGAGATCATTTGACGTTGCTGAATGTCTACCATGCTTTCAAGCAAAGTAAGTCTGTCTGTTTTAGCAAAATTATTTATAATGCTTTGTGCTGTCAGCTTTCGTTCCTGAGTTCCAAGGGTGGTTTGAGAGGCTTGCCTTGGGTTTTATTGTTTAAGTTCTACTTGCCTTTGGGGGTCAAACAAAACCAAAAAACTACCCAAGAAATCATGTAATGAACTGATGAGCATGGAGACAAGCCAGGCTTTTAGATCAATGCTGGGTAACCTTGGACAGAAGGAAGCAAATGTTCCTATAATTAAGAAATATTGGAAGTTTATCTGACATTAATTATAAAAAAAATCTGCATAATTGCCTAGTGATTTATCAGGGAAAGCAGTGCAGAAAGTGCTGTGAATTTGGAGAAGGATATGTTCCCAGAACAAACCTTTTTAATCCTAACTTTTTAATATAGTTAGGAATTCTGTAATAAGGCCTTAGAATAGATGAGAGGCAAAGAGATGATGCATCAACAAGAAGTAACTTAGAGCCATGCAATACATTTATTTAACTTATGTTAGTTCTGTGTATGGAGTTGAAGGAAAATGTGTGTCCCTCCACAGCATAGCTGAAGGATATTTTAGCAGCTTGGAAAATACAGGAATGAACAGGTGGAGCTAGTGCTCTTGAAAAATGACTATTTAAGTGTCACACTTTTTTTAAGTGACTTATGCTGGTGGCAGGTAAAATGATTGCTATTAACTACCAACCAGAGTAAATTATGTGCTCCACTTGCATTTTCCTGTAAGCAAACAAAAAAGCAACAGTCTTTTTTACCTTGAGGAGAAACCGTGCAACTTAGTGCCCGTTTCTGTTTCACTTTTGATTTCGAAAATTTGTATTGAAACCTTCTAACACTATCATCACGTGACAATCCAAAATAAGGATACCTTCAGAGTAAAAGTCCAAACAAATTTATTCCATGTGTTTAAAACAATAGCTGAGAAACTTCAGTTAAACACCTGTAAATTGGGGTCGAGTTGCTTGTGTTTTTCTGTCAGCTGTTTAGTTAATAGGATCCAGGATGTCTTGCAGACATCTTGTGTGGGCTTGTTTCTGGAAGCTGCTGCCTTCATACTCCGGTCACTGAGGGATGGAATTATTTTGGGAATCGTCTTTTGTTCGGTTTTGCTGTGAAATTGTAAATTGATTTCTGGGATCAGAAGATAAAATGCTGTTACTGTTTGTATCTAGAACAATGTAAAACACTTATGGGTTATCTGTGATGCACACTTCAGGTGGCTCAGAAAGTAACATGCTATGGTACTTCACTGTACAGTAGAATCCTAACTGTACAAGAGCAGAAAGAACTTGGATCTACCTCAAATTACACAACTTTCCTTCTTTTCAATGCAAATTAGGAGAAGTCTCCTTCTGTACAAGAGTTACCTTAAGTTTTATTTCTTGTTAAGGCAAGCTTTGTTGGATTATTAAACTGACAAAGATTAGAAGAGTATTACTTGAAAAGTAACAGAATTGGTAGGGAGTGTGAAACATGCAGGTATTTATCCTGACAGCATGGCAGAGGCTTGCTGTTAGAGCAGATTTCTTCTTAGACAGACAGCAGTAGGAAGGGTAGCATGAGAGTTCGTGCATTTTACCAGCCACCTACATTTACTTACTGTGAGGTGCATCATGTTAAAATAGTCTGTTTGTATATCTCTTAGCTGTTACTTGAATGCTTAATTTAAGGGGATTTCATTTCTCAAATACAGCAAAGTTCTGTACAATCACCTTGTGTGTTCGCGTGCTACAGTTAAAGATTGCAGTGTTCCTTACATAAAGTTACGTTTTTTACTGCAGGTTTGGAAGATGATTTTTCTAGTTGCAGGATGTAGTTTTGAAATGTCCAAAGTTTAGTGGTGTGTGGTATTTCAGCAAAACATCAGTGGTTGTATGTTGTGTTGGTGAGGAGAAAAAAAACTGATTTTCTTCTGTCCTGACCACATGCCTCCTGAAAAGAAAACAGTTTTGGCAAGTTACCTAATGCAAGAAATCAGCTGAACAAACTAAAAGCTGCCGTCACCTATAAAAGTTTATGGATATTTTTTTCTGGTCCATCTGACTGATCAGTTGGTTAGTTGCTGTTTTATTTACATGTTCTAATTTTGATTCATGTTTTCTAATGTTGCAGATCATGAGTCGGTTCAGTGGTGTTATGACAACTTCATTAACTACAGGTCCCTGATGTCTGCAGACAATGTACGCCAACAGCTGTCACGAATCATGGATAGATTTAATTTGCCCCGTAGAAGCACAGACTTTACCAGCCGAGACTATTACATCAACATCAGAAAGGCATTAGTTACTGGGTATTTCATGCAGGTATGTGTGTATTCTCATAGGGAACTTATGAGAAGTGTTGAGTGTTTATGTGGCTCATAATGTTAGCATGGCTGTTATAATTTGTCAAAACCTAATGAATGTTACTTAAATTATGCATGGCTAACTGTATTGCCACCTAGTCTTTGTCAGGTTGCTTGGTTATTACTCAAGTAGCACGTTCTTTAAACAAATCTTATCTGGAAGAGAATTTGTAGGCAGTCTTGCTAGTATCAAAATATTGTTTCTGGCACGACCAGTCAGGAGATGGCCACTAACTTCTGAGTAGCTAAGGAAGTAACTTATAAAGTTACTTATAAAGATCGCTAAGTAAGTGCAGAATATGTAGTTCTAAATTATTTGCAATCCAATACAAAACAGGCAAGTATAGTAGTATATAAATATTAACTATATGTAATCCTTATAGAAGGAGGGTGTTTTCACTTGCATGCTTTTCCATACTTGTATTTCACTTTTAAATGACGTGAGTCAGATACTGGAGTACTGGAGCAGGTCTGTAATCTCAGGATGTGTGCTGTTGGAAACTCTTGCCGTTTGCCTGACAGACACCCACATAGCACATCTGAACTGGGGCACAGACTTGGGCACCGTGTCTGTTTAAATCGCCCCCACCAAGGAGACAGTGCCTTCCCCCGGGCTCAGTCAGCAGCACACGTGTTTCTGGGTTTTCAGAATGCAAGAATATCAATGTCAGGAACTGCATTTACTGTAATGCAAATACGAGATGAAGGCTGTTGACTGCTTTTAAATATTAAAATGGTTCTTAAGCCTGGCTTGCTGTAACCTTTCAGACAAGCAGGTTAGTCACTCTGTTTGGTCCTTGCATTTGGGCCATGTTTTCTGCATGTTTCTTGATAAACACTTTAGTGTTCCACCTACACTTTTAATTCTGTAAATGTTTTGAAAGACAACAGTTCTGCCCAAGAGCCATTTTGGGCCCTAGGGCAGGTTCGTGTGTCACAGCTGCGCTTCTGTTTGGCACCATACCCTGTGGCTTCTGTCGCTTACTTGGACCTTTGGAGAGCTCACGTACTTGGAAGTTGGTGCGCTGTCAAGTTTGTTTCATGTTACTCGGAGTGAAACTCTTCCTCTAGAAGAGTTCCTATTTGAAAACACCTATTCCCGTGGATTGGGAACTGCACTGTTGGTGCAGGTAGCGTTTTGTTCTCTGTGTCTCAGGAGTGAAAGATCTCACCTCATATTTTTGCTGTGAGTAGAGTAGTAGGCTCACAAAGATGAAAATTAAAACCTGTCCAGAAGTCTCCTTGGGCTTCCATGGTGAATGGGTTGTTTACCACCTCCCTCACCCACAATACCTAATGGAATTTTTGGGCTGAATCAAGAGATAAGTGTGGCAGACCTTTTGGAGTAGGAGCCATTTCAGCAGTTTCTCTTCTGCTTTAAAGTGTTAGAGTCCATTTTACTTGGTTTCTTTGACTCTCTAACCTCCATGATAGTGTGATATGTTTGACCTTGACTCTGAACCTTCTGTCATGAATTCCATGTTGCTTTGAGTAACCTTCAGTAGAAAAATTATAAATACTTAAGAGGTTTTATTTACTGGCAGCTGAAGTACTCAGAAGTATAGCTGCTGTACGCGTTATACCCTCTCTGAGCCGATGCTCAGACTCTGGCATTTTGGGGCTCTTGTTCAGAAAACTCAAGTAATGAAAGGCATACATCATTCTTTGTCCTCTTAGTACAGACTATTTGTGAAAGTCCAAGTGTGAGCACTTGCAAAATATATGCATGTATCACAAATAGTTTCTGTATGTAAATGACTAAGTCTGTGGACAGCACATGGTAGTGATTCTTCAAACTCTCCAAGCTTAAAAATGCGGTATGAATTGGAAAGAGTTGTAGCAGCCATTGTCCTGAAATAGTTCTCATTGGCTGCCTTGTTTTATACTTTGGTAATTGCCTAGTGTCCTAAAACCAGTCATAAAATTGCACTGTAGAATTTTCTGTACTACTCAAGACCTGTGGTTGATGTCAGATAGCACAGGCCTGTATTAACTGCTGTAACAGTACTAATTACATAATCAGTACTAAGTACTGTATGTTTGCCTGCCTTCGATTCAGTGTCAGTGATGGATAAATGTGAAATTTCTGTTGGTGATGAATCATCTCTTTACCCCTCATATTTAAATGCAAACTTGAATTCCAGTAAATCTGCCGTAGACAAGCAAAGTGAGCTGTAGAATAGTTTAGAACTGTCAACAATTCTGTGTATAGTAAAACTTCTGGAAAGATAGATATGGACAAGAAGTGTCTTGTAAAACTTTCATGCTAAATCTGAGATTTCTTACAGTTTTTGTAGTGCAAAACTTTTTTTTAAAATATATTTCTTTATCACATATCAGAATATGCAAAGTATATGTAAAATAGAGCAAGGGATGCTTGCAAAATCGCTAAGAAACTGCTCATTGAAATTAAAATACGTGAGAGAAATACTACTTTTTCAATACTTCAGTGCCGGACATAGTCTGTCTTAAGAAGGGAGAGGAATTGGCAAATGGTACAACTAATATAATCGTAATTTGGTAATAAAATTCAAGCACTAGGTATAGATTACTTACTTAACAGAAGTAGGAGAACTAAGCGTACTCTATAGAAACACCTGAATAGGATAAAATACTGTAGCTCAGTGTTAGCTCAGGATTGAAGTAAGTCATGGGAGTATGCAATCACTTAATGGTGACTTATCCCTGATATTCATGGAAAACTAAGCTTAGCTGAAGTAAAGAGTAAGCAAAAAAAGTTATACTACAGTAAGTAAGCTAAGGAAACTTTAAATTGAATAGGAAAAGGGAACCAAATGACAGAATATCTTAAAGATGAGTTACCTTCCTCTTAGTAATTTTTTTGGTTTGTTTTTTACCAGTTGTCATAAAGAACTTAGATTTTTATTGTTGTATTTCCAATCTAATATTGGAAGCAGAACAAGAATTGATAAATGAAAATTTACATCAGAATTCAAAGGTGGGAAGCAAGTCCTGTGGTGTTTTCAAATCTCAGAATGGGTGAGGTTGGAAGTGACCATGGTGGGTCATCTGGTCCAACCTCCCTGCACGAGCAGAGTCATCCCAGAGCACATTGCACAGGATTGCATCCACATTGTTCTTGAATATCTCCAGTGAGGGAGACTCTGCAACCTCTCTGGGCAGTCTGTTCCAGTGTACGGTCACCTGCACAGTAAAGAAGTTCTTCCTGATGTTCAGGTGAACTTCCTGTGCATCAGTTTCTGCCCATTGCCTCTTGTCCAGTTGCTTGGTACCATTGAGAAGAGCCTGGCTCCATTATCTTGACACCTTCCCTTCAGATATCCATAGACATTGATGAGGTCCCCTCTGAGTTATCTCTTCATGAGGCTGAACAGGCCCAGCTCCCTCAGCTTTTCCTCATAGGAGAGATGCTCCAGTCCCTTAATCATCTTTGTTGCCCTCTGATGGACCTGCTCCAGGCTCTCCATGTCCCTGTTGTACTGAGGAGCCCAGAACCGGACACAGCACTCCAGGTGAACCTCACTAGGGCTGAGTAGAGAGGCAGGATCACCTCCCTCAACCTGCTGGCAATGCTTTTCCTAATGCACCCCAAGATGCCATTGGCGTTCTTGGACACAAAGGTATACAGATCAAGCTTGGAACCTTTTCTAGAAGATGTGGCTTAGTCAAACACAGGTTATATCATGGTCACTATGGAGGATAACTTAAATGACCAATACTGTACAGAAAATTAGATGTCAGATGATTTGCCTGCTAATTAAAATCTCATTCCTAATGTTTCTCAGTTGTTGGTGCTGTTTCTTGTATGGAATTACATATATTTTAAAGTCTTTACATAATCAGGCTCCTACAATAATAGGATGGTAATAAAATAAACCTATGACATGAAAGTGATCACTGGTGCATTTAATGGTATTCATTTTACTCTAAGAGTGCAGAAGAACGGTGTAAAACTTTTCAGTAGATTCAGAAACGCTCTTGCGTGTGCTGCAAGCAGAAATTGCAGAAATTGCAGATATCCAGGCAACTGACAGTGCTCCTTTGGTTGCATACTAGTATATTCTTTTGTCAGAAGGACAAACAAGGAACAATCTAAACTGTCTGTAAAAACTAACCTGCCAAAATTTGTAGCCTTAAATATAAAAAACCTGGATCTTGTGATAGTATTTCTGCTTTTGACCTTTTAAACGCATTTGTATTTACTGTGTTAGACATGTTTGGCTAAAGACCCCTTTTTGGCCCTCTAGGTTCAATGACATGATAAAGAGTAAATAATCACAAGCATATTTAAAATTTCAGAGGGGAGAATGTGTAATTTTTACTAAAATTGTGACAAGAACTTGAAGTAAAACATTTTCTTGTGGCATGTGCCACTGTTGCTGTCTGGGTTTGTCGAGTTGCAAAAAGCGTTTTAATTGTCTCTGCATTAGGTGGGCTTTCTGGGGCTGCAGACTAATCTGTTGCCAGAGGTATATGGGATGGCTTGACTCTTGGCCATCTGTTTAGAGTCATGTTTAGGTAGTCTAATTCACAAAAGTTTTATACTAGTGACAGATTCTTTGATGATCCTGGGGTTCAGGTGTATTCCATAGTATCTTGTTCACTACCACTGCTCATCAAAAAATGAACCCATTTACTAGGCATAGTCTGTATCATCCTGTGGTTTCTGTGGAAGCTCGTGGGTTTCTCTTCCGTGAAAAACATCACTGAATGGTCGAGGTGGAAGGGCCCTCTGGAGGACACCTGGTCCACCTACCCCTGTATTTGCAGGCACTAGAATTGGTTGCATGCCAGGGTTTCAAAGGAGCATAAGTATATATGCTGCCTCCCATGTGTCAGTGTTCGCTCCCTTATGCCACCCTTGGTGCTTGCCTAAGCCATTCTGAATTCTTTCAGCTCAGTGACCTGGCAGGCCACTTACACCTTCAAAGGGGAAGCAAGAATGGGCTCTGTCAGCTGTGCTGGAACAGCTCAGCCAGGAGGGAGCAGGGAAATGCAGCAGCTGGCACATCACCATGGCTTGCTATGGAGCCAGAGCTACTCTGTGTATTTCTCATACTGTTGCTGTTACTGACCCTGAAATTCTTCACTGATGTGTGTGGCAACAGGCACAAGTTCTAGAAACATCTAAATAGGATAAATACTGTGGGTCAGTGTTGGCTTGGGATCGAAGTCAGTCACAGTAGTATGTAACCATCTAAAGGTGGCTTAATCCCTGATATCAATGGTCTAAGGAAACATTTTAATTGGTGTTATTCCAATTCTTGTCCTTCCCTGGAAATTCAGAGCTCTCTGTATGTTTCTGTAGCATTTTTCTTTGAGTATGCTTAATTAGTTATTTTGGAATCTTTTTACTTAGTTCAGAGTAGTACAAATTAATCAAGAAATACAACTCTACACTATTATTATAAATTACATGGAAAAGCAAATTGTGTGTATTTGGAAAAGGTAGATTATAAGACTTCACTACTTCAATACATCTGAGCTAGACAGATGCTAAAGGTAAATTGCATTGAATTTAACAGCATGCATTTCTAAAATGAAACCTAAATAAATGATTTGTTCTGTCCTTTTCTAGGAAGAACTGGAACAGATAAAGCACTCTGATATTTTTGTATGCATGTGTACTTTTGATCTGAAAAATCAAATTGATTTCAAACAGAACATCCTTTAAATAAAAAGCATAATCCTACAGCATGGTGTGCTGTCTTTGTGCTAGGTCTGTGACTGATGAGTGTCTAGCCTAGTCTGGTTTGCAGCTATACTGCTATTTAATTTTGCAAACATTGTATTGAGTTGGATGAAATTAAGCCTAAATCGTTAAAGACAGTGTGCTGTTAATCTCCATTTAAAGGAATCTCTGTTTGCTTCCCAGACTTGAAATAAAGTAGAAGTGTAATCTCTCAAATCTTGGGTGAAAAGATTTACAGTCTATTGAAATACTTCGTTCTAGTCCTAAAACATATTCTGGATAATAATGTCATAATGTATAAAAGAGAAGCACACTCAAAATAAGTAATTCCTTACTAAGGAGTTATTCAGAGCTAAAATTTGAGGTAGCTATTGCTTTAGAAGTCCCGAGGTTTTAATCGAATAGGTGGAATTCACTTTTGACTAGGCAACAAAAAAAAAAAAAAAAAAGGTGAGCTGTATGTAGAAATACTAAAAAAAAAAGGGAAGAAAACGAGAGTACGCATCTGTATTAAAGGAAACCAGCTGATGATGGTCTGTTCTAAAATGTGTCTTTTTGATATCTTTTACCCATTGTCCATCCTGTTTAATCTTTTTACAGTATTTGTGTGTGTGTGTGTATGTGTAATGAGTGGAGAGGTTATCTTCAATTTCCGATATGAAAGAGTTAATTTGAGTTACCTGTTCCGTTAGATTAGCTGTTTGTACGGAGGATATCCTTCTAAGGATAACTGTCTGTTTTACCTAGCTCATTAAGATTTGGTATCGGAGCATCTCGGCAAGGTAGGCATTATTCCCTTTTATAGAGCAAGAAGCTTAGTCAGAGAGAGGTTAATTGATTTTCACCAAGGTCACAGCAGAAGTGTGTTGCTGAACCTACATTTTCCAGCTCTGAAGCTCATGCTGTAACAAGACCTCTCATAAAAGGATAACATTGTGGCTTACTGGTCCCACAGTGGCTACTGCAAATTAAATGCTTGAAGCAGATGTCTGTAGTAGACCACAGTTGACTTTGTGTGATGTTGCAAACCTGTCCAGTTCCATTGCAGTACTCGTGTTTGCATTGCTGTTGTTCCAATAATGATTTTTCTCTTTGGGTGATATCTATTTTTGTACATTGCTTGAATTGTATATTAGAATATACACTTACCATGGCAGTTAGCAAAAACATCTGGCATCTTGATTGTGTCTATAAAAAAAACATGAATAGTTGAAGTGGTCAAGTAATGTGCCAAATTTAGAGGGGGTTTGAAAGTTGGGATAGTACGTTTTGTATAGAACACTTAACAATCAGCTTGAAATTGCTTCATTTAAAAATTGCCTCTGGTAATGAAAGAATGTCTTTTTATTTAGGTGGCACATTTGGAGCGAACGGGGCATTACTTAACTGTAAAAGATAACCAGGTGGTGCAGTTGCATCCCTCCACTGTTCTTGATCACAAACCAGAATGGGTGCTGTATAATGAGTTTGTCCTTACAACGAAGAATTACATCCGGACATGTACAGACATCAAGCCAGAATGGTAAGCTGAAGTCTTGCAACAGTCGTGATCTACTGTACAGCTTTTGTTTTTCTTTCTCCTTTTCTTAACCTGAGGTAATTCTTTTCACTCTTCCTGAAGCCAGTTATACTAGAATGGTTTGAGGAATGGCAGTGGCATGGACTTGAGATGTTGCAGATCACTAAAGGTTTTCATTGTGCCTGTTTGTGGGCACACAATACTTCAGTCAGTATTTAAACCAAAGAAAGAGGTGGTAACTGTGGTACAAATCGTCTTATCTCATGATATTTATTCCTCAGCAAGCATATATCAAGGAAATCAGAGGTCTTAACCTCTGCAGACAAGCAGAGATCTGAAGCATCTTGCCTGTCTTTAAAGTTGTACTTAAGCTGCCAAGCTGTAAGCTTTGGGGACATGGGAGGCTCTTCCGTTGCTGAAATTTTGCTGTTATGCAGGAAGAGTTTAAAGATTCGTAAGCTGGAAAGCACAGCATATACAGCTTGTAGTATCTTAATGGAAAATGTGGTTCCTTAGAAATCTTTTCTCAACAAACACTGTACAGTGTAGAGCAGGATCCTGTGGCCTTAGTCGTGTTGTTAAGCTCAAAGCAGCTAAGGCTGAACTGTTCTCTGACACAGACTGAAGTTTGGTGGACTTCTGTGGCTGACAGCCCTGGACAACTCTGGCTGTGTGGGCCACCGTGGCAGGGACTGCAGCAGCAGGGAGGGTCTGTGAGGGCAATGGCTGCACAGGGGGTATCATGAGACTTGTGCATGCTTTTTGCTTTGGACTTGAGCGCTTGCACAGGATGGCACTGAGATTCTAGGTGTGTGTGCATGTGTGTAAAATGCAAACTTAAATTGCAGAATCAGTTGAAAATAATGGATAACCTTTGTTTCCCTCAGTTGTAGAATTTCTCTAAGATGCATCTTAAAGTTTGAGTATCAGTAACAAGCTTTTCCTTTTTTGACAGGCTGGTGAAAATTGCCCCTCAATATTATGACATGAGCAATTTTCCACAGTGCGAAGCAAAGAGACAGTTGGATCGCATCATTGCCAAACTTCAGTCCAAGGAATACTCACAGTACTGAATTTATGCTTTGAACTGAAGTTATTCAGAGGACAGCTTTAAGAGATGAAAGGATTCAAAGTTCAAGTTGTGCTCTTCACTTTGGTTCAATAATGGCCTTTATTTGAAAGCTTTTTAATTTTTCTTTACAGTAAATATTCCATTCTGATTTCATAAATTAAACATTTATGCCTCCCTTTTGTGTTGACACTGTAGCTCATACTGGAAAAGCTAATCAATGTTTTGCAGTTTATTGAAAGTAGTTCTATATATAACAATGTTATAAGCATTTCTTTAGAAATGGTTGAAAATGCTTCTAAAAATGTGATTATCGACCATGGTATGCATGATCGTTGTAATTGTTGACATTCCTTTTAGAAGTTGTGAAATGTTACAACTTGTGCTTCTGTAGACACAATCTTCAGCTTCAGTACAAAGGTACTGACTTCAATAAAGTCTATTTATACTAATTTTGTGCCACAGTATGTCAGTATTTCTATTGTTTTGATTGAAACATGAGAAGCCATTTAGTCTCCCAGTAAACTGCTGTTTGATTGACATGGCAGTAGTTTAATATTTTAATATTAAAAGTGCGGATGTTTAAGCAGCACAGTGATGATGACATCAGCGTAATGCATACAATGTTGATCCCTTGCAAACTTGTTTAAATTATTTAGGAAAAATGAAATGCATGCAGATGTGTTAGGAGAATGCTTTCTTCAAACATAGCCCTAAATATTTCTTGGACAGAACTGTAGTAATGTGTCCTGTAATGTGGAGTGTCTGTGGCGAGTTAGGAATTGCCCTGCTGGGCAGTGTTCAGGGACCATTTAGGATCAACACAAACAATAACATAAGTGACACTGTAGGTCAGATCACACTGCACTGTTGTAATTCTGTAGGGATTTTTGGTGAAATATGATTTGACAGCATTTTCAATTTGGGAAGGCTAATCCCATGAGGAATTTATAGTAAAATTTGATCAGAGGGCTGGAGCACCTGAGGAGCTCTATGAGGACAGGCTGAGAGTTGGCACTGTTTAGCCTTGAGAAGAAAAGGAGACTTTATTGTGGACTTTTAATACGTACAGAGGTTTTGTAAGAATGAGTTGTGGCTTTTTACCAGTGACAGGACAAGGGGCAATGGTTTACTCTGGCAGAGGGTAGACTGAGATTGGACAAGAAGAAATTTGTACTGTGAAGGTGGTGAGGCGCTGGAACAGGTTTTCCAGTGAAGTTGTGGATGCCCAGTCCCTGCAGCGTTCAAGGTCAGCTGGATGGGGCTTTGAGCAACCTGGTCTAGTGTAAAGCGTCCCTGGCCATGGCAGGAGGGTTGGATCTTTAAAGGTCCCTGCCAACCCAAGCCATTCTGTGTTTTAATGTATTTGATCAAATTTCAGTTTTTCCCTTCCCCTGGAATACACTGAGCTTTGGTCCTTATAGCAAAGAGAAGCTGGATCAGCTCTTGCTAAAACTGGTTCCTCTAGGAAGAGAGCTGTGTGCTGTCATGCTCTAAGGCTGAAGTAAAAATAGGTTATGTTTGGAGAGCTGGTAACTAACCTCAGACTAATCTTAAGCACTGATGTTTGGTGTATCCTATTTAAGTCATAGCAATGGACTATAAAATTACTTGGAATGGAATAATTTGAGGACTTTCTTCCAATTCCAACCTTTTTTTTTTCTAAATTCTAAAATTCTATTTATATGATGTGGAATAGATAAGTTTTGAAAACTTTAAGGTTAAAATTGAGTGGGTTTATAATACGCAGTGGGACCTGAGAAGTCTGTCTCAAGTTTGATAGTGAGGGAGTGGAGGATCTCCCCCTCTTCAGGCATTGTAGAATGGGTCTGGACTCTCCTGTCCTACAAAATCATATTCGGTAGGAAAGAGGGAGGTTGACTGCATAAAATGTTGAACTGGATGGAGTTTTCTGACTGCAGTTGGAAGAGTTTTTATTTAAAATAGGAATTCTGAACTTCTTAAGCAACTGGATTTCGTACTAATATTGCTAAACATACAGATGTTGGTTTTGCAAATTCCTGCTCTAGGATGACTCAGGCCGGATATGTGGGGTTTCACGATGACTTGCTTATCCCCCGCTGTGAGGGGCTGCTTTGTGCAGTGCTGAGAAGTGGCCGCTCCCCAGGTAAGAGAACTTCTCTAGAATTCATGTGCAGCTTTCAGCCGAACTGTGTAGAACCAGCTTCTGCACAACTTTCCCGAGGTCTGGCAAGGGCCACAAACAGCCAGTTCTCTGCATGAAACCCCGGAACCAGCTGGCATAAGCTGCCATAGCCTGGGTCCTTGGGGATGGGGGAGCAGATGGCTATGGCCGTGAGTGGAACTTGACACAGGAGAGACTTTGGCCCTTTTTTGAAATTGTCATACCCACAAACTCAGCTTGGGCTGTGACAGCTGACCTGGGATCTTTCGCTTTGCTCTGTCGTTGCTATCAGGAATGCAAATACTGCTGGCCAAACCCGTGTCCTCTGGCAGCTGTGCAGCCCTGACACCTTCCAATTAAGCCAGTGACACCTGTGCAATCCACCTGAAAGCCCAGGGGGGCACCGGTGTCATGGCTGAATTGGAAGGCTGTCGGTGTCACAGCTGTCACAGGGGTCTGAGCAGCCCGGTGCCCCCTCCCCTCCTGACAGTGGGAATGCGAGCAGGGAAACAGCTTACCTGCTGGGACCCTGATGGAATCTGGGGGCCAGTGCTTTGGGAATATACAGAAACCTAGACGTGGGGTTTGGTACTTGCACAACCCTGGTGCATCTCTGAAAAGCGCTCCCCTTACCGAAGAACTGACAAAGCGTTTTCTCAAGGGCACTGCGTGTGCTACACAGAGTCGTTCCTTCGCTAAGGCCCCGGGCTGGGAGCGGCTTTGTGCAGGCATGTGCAGCCTGTTCTGTGCCCAGTACTGATCTCAGATAACTGAGGGTGTTCAAGGGTTCGGGGAGAAGCAACACAAACTCAATTAAATCACTGTGGACACCTTAGAGTTACTGCAGAACTCACTTCTGATGTAATTTTAGAGCCATATAGCAGTGGGACGGGAGCAAGGTATCTAAGGAGTTACTGGCCCTCTCTGAAGGAGTAGTGACAGGGACAGCAGGGCTTCTTCAAGCAGTGTTTCCTGGGTCTGAAAGGGAAACTTGTATCAGGAGCCACCTTCTTTGCTACTGGTGTCTCGGGTACAGCAGATGGGTGCAGAGGAGCTTGAGTTTGAGAATAGCCCTGGATTTTCTTAAATTCAGTGTTGAAAGGTAAAACCTCATTCCCATTTTTCTGATGGGAACACTGTCAAAAAAGGTTGCCCAGAGGAACAAAAGGAAACCAAGAAGGAGGTGTAGGAACGAGGCTGCTTTATCTATGAGCGTATGAAGGTCACTGCCTCTCTTTAAAACTGTTACAGATACCCGCAGTCCTGCCCATCATCAGAGCTCTGGCTCCTTATACTGCACAATGCAGTAAATGGGGGGAAGAGTTGGAAATCAGGTTTGCTGGTGTCAAATAGAAATTCAGCTTCCCCTGGTTTTTGTCCTGTGAAATGCCACAACTGACTACAAGACCCTTCCTGCTGGCCTGAGGAGCGAGGGATCCCGGATAAAGTACAGGGCTGCCCCCACCAGCTGCAGCCATTTGCTGTTCTGTGCTCCCTGCCCTACTGATGCTACTGCAGAGCGTTCAGACTGCCAGCCAGGGTGTAAGCATTTTTGTTTTGGAGTACTGAGGAATGGCTCCTTAGGATTAGCTGGTTATCTGCTTTGGAATGGTCTAAAAGGTCTTTGCTTACTTACAGTGAATCTTTTTATCACAGACATTCTGGTGGTTTTTGAAAATACATGGTTTGTATATAATAAACTATTTATAGTGTGGGATATCTGAAAATACAGAATGGGTTAGATGATAGGGAAACAGTACTAAGTGAAAGGGGTATATTTTTTGAAAAGAGGAGAGTCTTCCATCGTAATTGTGCTGCTGTGTAATACCTCAAAGCAGTAAAAGGGCTAATCATTGGTGTGATGTAACAAGTGTATTTAGGTTTGTTAGATACAGAGGTAGTTACTAATGGCTGAGTACATGTGGTTTAGGTATGATCAGCATTCTGGAGACATAAAGAAGTGACCAGTTATACTGTGTTTAGATTTGTAGGGATTTTATAGCAATTAGAATTTTTGTCAGAGAAAAGAAAAAGTGGTGACTCCATGCTTTGCCGTGTCCCGATGTCATAAACCCCCCTGCGCTCTTGCTTTTGGGAGATCTCTGTGTAGTGCAGTGCAAAAGACAGGTGCTGAAGTTCCTTTAGGGTTTACAGGAGTGTCTCCATTTGTTGTGCTGTGCCCATTCACTGAAGTTGGAGAGCAGTTGGCACGGGCCAGTCCGAGTTGGTGCATTCTGTATCACTTGGGTCAGTTTTTCGTGACAGAGCAATGCCACCATTTCTGATCACCACCTCCCTTTTCGGATCAGGGCCTGTGACACAGCATTGGTTTGTGACGTCTGATTTTCAACCTGCACTGCTGCACAGTGCGTACTGGGAACTGCTCATTATTTGCCATATTTGTCAGCCTAAAGCAAAAATGTTGAAATTAGCTTTCACTGTGTAATTTGAAAAGATACCTTAGCAGAAGTCAAAGGGCAAAGAGTTTTTCTTCCATCCAGTCAAGCTACAGTTATTAATTTGTAATCAGATTGCTCTAGTTCATTTTCTGATAATATATAGCAATAAAAAGCCATACCACACTATGACAGTAGAAAGCAGAGAGTTATATTCTAAAGTACACAGATTTATTCACTTACTGTAATTTGTAAGGAGTATACATTTATCTTGGTTTTAGAACAGCTGAAGGTTTTAATAATAAACATAAACATATTTTACTATTAGAAGTATAATCTTACTCTGGTACTCTGTTGACCTTTTAAAATTATTTAACTTCATGACTATGTATGTAACATTAGATTTATGTGAAGCAGAGGGAAAAATGATCTACTTGGTCAACCTAGTTCCTTTTTCTACTGGTACTTCTGACCCTGGTAGCTTTGTTTTGGGGTGTGTATGCTTCCTAGAACTATTCCTAAAACTGGGTGTTATTCCCCAGTAATACAAATGTGAGATATTTTTGATCTTGAAACAAGCAGCTTTGAAACCAGAACGAAACCATTATGAGAGCGTTTGCCCCTCTCTTCGCTTTTCCTTTTGCAAATGACGAGCTTGGGCTGCCTCTAATTTGCACTGATGTGTTTGAGATAAGTGGTTGGCATCAAGGAGATCCAAGCTTCCAGTATCAAGGGATTAAACTAAATATGGTAACAGCAGTAAAATAACATTCCTGTAGCAGCGGTAACAAGACTAGTTCTGCTGATTGTAGGTGTTTGATTTTGCAGTTTCAACTCAAATATGGTAGTTTCTCAGGAACACTGAATGTATGTTGGACAGATGATAAAATAATTTTCATTTGTGTACATC